GAAGCATAAGCGAGCAAGGACTGTGCATGTATCTCAATCAATCAATCTTCAATCTAAAATCGATTAACAGCCCAGAGCGAAGCGGCAAACAAAAAACAAAACATTTTAAAATTCGTTAAAAAAAAGTCAACTGGGCACGTCGAACTTGACATACCCTAGCAGAGTGAATTACACCTGTTTACCTTGATGGGATCGAAGCTATCTCCCTCCATGCGTTGACGACACTTGATGACAAAATTATAAATTCCACCGCAAAAATGTTGCCTGCTCCTGTTGCAAGACCAGATCCACTTGGATCAGTTGCTGGGGGCCAATTTTCTTAATTTGTTTTTGGTATTTTAGTTGAGATGTTGTTGAAAAAAAGCAACCAAAAACAAGAAGAAGAAGAATATGAAGCAGGGACACGCAATGTCAAAGATCAGCGACGAACATGTAATTACACGAGAGGCCACAAAGATGATGATGATCATCATCGTGATAATCTTCATGATCTTCTTGAGTCTGCTACATCAATTCAGTTTCAGTTCATTCACGCGGTTTTGTATTTTTTTGTTGTTGTTATTGTTGTGGAACTTTGACGCCCACCAAAGATAGCCGCAGCCGTGGCAAGATGACAAATGGTTGATGGAACCCCCAAACATCATCAACACATAGAGAGGCAGACAGAGCGATACAGATAGAGAGAGCGAGAGAGAGAGAGAGAGAGAGAGAGAGGGTTGGCTCAAAGATGAATGCTAAACGAGCCGCAGCTTGAATGGCAGCCCGCCAGCAATCTCTATTATTATAATAATCTATCAAAATGAAAAACAGAAATATGACTATTGTATGTTGAACTCGGTGGATCTTTCGCACCCGAAGCGAGAATTATAACACTAGACGACAAGCATTACTATGAGAATATATAGTATGCCAAATCCCATAGAGGGCGAGAGAGAGAGAGAGAGTGAGAGATCTTTGACTCCTCATTCGACTTCAAGTTGAACGCAACTCGAGTCTGGTGATCAAATTTTCAGATTGCCCAGCAACATCAATATAATTGCTGTGCTGAATATGGGCCGAGTTTTCTTGTTGTTGCTTTTAGCCAGAAGCAGCCACAGCCACATAAGCATAATATGCCCAGATACATATTATTTATGCATGTGTGTTGTGTGTGTGTGTGTGTGTGTGTGTGTGTAGTCGTGCCTGCCCACATGCTATATGGCAGCATAGCATATTTAAAGATCTGTTTATTGTTTACACTGGCCGACGCTGGAAACCGTCCATCTTGATGCCAAAAACATTAAAGACTATAAACGCCATGCTGGCCACACGCACACAGACCGACACCTAGATACTCTGTACACACTGCAACTGACCCAAGGAAGCTTTGATATTTAATTTTAATTCATTTCTTTGTATTTTTATTAATATTAGCATTGCAAATGTTTAAAACTGGTAAATGAAATTGTGCAGATGTATGCCACAATAGATTCTCTCCTTTTATGTATATATATTATTTATGAGAATAATGTCCGTCTATATGAAATACTTCACTTATCGATAACAGTGACCGTTTAGCAAATAACGATACAAATCGAGCTCTAATTTTCACTTAAATATATTTAGCAGCTTGGCTCAGGGTATCTGCTAGTCGAGTTCTCTCGACTAGACTTTTCTTACTTGATTTTATTAGTACTTTTTTTTTTTTTTGGGTAAGTATATAAAAGATTGTTGTTGTTTGCTGGCCAAGCAAGCAGCACGTGTCTTGCGATCTATTAGATTTTCTGCTTGCTTGTATGTATTACAAAAGCAACAACAACATCAGCATTTTTTTTAAATTATCGTTGAATTTTGTTACAATTTTATTTGAAATTTCTTTGGAAACACGACCGAACAGGCAAACGGGGTCTGGACGTGAAATCAGCGTGTTGGTGGTAGTGATTGGATGGGGGGTGTTGAAATGGCCAGCTACGTATGTGCATAGAGAAATTGTTGCTGTTGCTGTAGCCGTGGCTGTGGCTGCAACTTCAATTGTTGTTGTTGCTGCTGCTATTTATGCACTTGATGGGCCGCCGCTTCCTTCTTACCCTTGCCATTTTGATCCCAATTTGTAGACCGTTTATGGTTCGGAATGCAACGGATTGAACCGCCTGAATTTTATATACTGTATGTATATACATGCGTACATGTAGCCTATATTGAAGTACGATGATCGGAGTGAACTGTTAGAAACTAGAATTGTTTGCTAAGAAAAAATTTCATTTTACTCGCACACGTTTTTTCTCTTCAGTTTTTTCAATTTTGGATTTCAAATATATATTTATTTATATACGAGTATATGACAATCGGGTCTCCTCTCTCGCTCTTTCTCTCTCTCTTTCAGTCTCTGTCTGTCTCCCTCTCGATCTACAGCTCATTTATAATAGGTCAACGTCTTTGAATGAGTCTCACGCAATTTGCGTTCTACAATTGCTGAATTAACATACACGAACTCCTCCGCTCTGCTACTCGCTTTAAGATTGCTCCAATTTAGCAACAACAACAACAACAACAGCAACATCAACAAACACAACAATGACAGCACTTAAATACACAACAGTTAGTTAATAGACTAACTGATGATAACAACAACAAAAGCAACACCAATTGAAGTACGCTTTTGAAGTTCTACATGACCATACTCTGTTCCCAATGGTTAAAAGAGCACATTGCTATACGTTCAGTTAGGTGGAGTTGGCTTGCTTGATGCTGATCAAGAATACATATACTTTATGGGATCGGAGATGTTTCCATCTACCTTTTACATACCTTTGCTGAGCTCTATTATAATTGTTGGGATTTTCCTAACTTACTCTCAAAACATTATCTTGTTTCTCAACAATGTACTTAAAATTCTTGTGTACTTATGATTCGTATACTATTACCGAGTCGATTAAAATGCTAAAATGATAGATTTAATTATCGAATTTGGTTTGCTTTATCTCTAGCAGAGATAGGGTCAATAGATTTCTGTCGGTATTGAATTATGGGTAGGCTCGTTATTAAAATCACGCTCAAGTTAACTGGAGCTTTGGCTGGACTTGCCAATAATTTGATAGTATGTGTGTGAAAGTTGCCGTTTGTTGCACACATTTTTTAAAATTAATATGCCTATCTCTATCCCGCTCGCACCAACCAGCAGGCGGGGTTATTATGCTGCAAGTTTTTGGCCAAGAGAGTAATTAACAAACTGCGTCGCGCCAGCATTTAACGGCAGTTTCACACTAGTCAGCAAAACCTCATCGATTAACCAGTGAGTATGTGTGTGTGTGTGCAGGGGGAGGTGTGGGGATGCGTAACGGCCCCTGTGGCAGGTGAAAATCGATGCAACAGCAACAACAGCAGCAGCAGCAGTTGCCTGCGTACACATTTTACGCAATTGGGGACAACAAATTACACGCAATGCAATTTACGACAACAGTTTGGGGCACGGCTCAAAAGGGGCGTGGCTGGCTGTCTGCGTATTGAGGTTATGAGACGCTGTCTGTCCAGTTGCACAGGCAGCTTGTTGTTCAGTTGCGGGCCGTCTCTCGATTCTCGTCTCGATTATGCAAATGCCGCGAATTTCACTTGAACGCAACGAAACGCATCTAATCGAAAAGTGGAAGCCATACAGGGTATGTTTGTCAGTAAGTATGTGTTTAAGCATGTTTGTATATAGTTTAATGAAGTCTCCACGACACAATCGATCAAAGTGAAAAAAAACTGAAGCAGACCAAACGAAGCAACAGCAACAGCAACAACAACAACAACTGCAGCAATGTGAATTTTCATGTTCATGAAACTTTTGGACTTCAAGTCTACACTCAGAAAAATAAATCGGTCTGAATTTGAGCAAATTTGTTTGGGATTCTTAGCACCAGTTAAAAACATTTGTAACTAGATGCAATATTAAAAACCATATAACAATTTGACAAATCCAAATCCTGTTCGAAGTGATTGTTCATATTTTGTATACCCTATGCAAATATACAATATCTGATTGCTTGCAAGAGTATTTAAGCTTCGTCTGACCAAAGAAAATTGTTTTCTTGTAATTTTTTTCTTATACGCAATGCAGCATATCATACATGGCCAAAACAACAGTAGCAACAATGTTAAGAAGCATAACACCAACATTGGCACGCAACTTTTTTCTGTTTTGTTGTCTTTTTTTTGTTTTGTCTTTTTGGCAACCATCAATTGCGACTGTTGCTGTTGCTGTTGCCATCTTTACGAGTTGATGACCCCGAAACCCCAAAGAAGACGTCGATGAAGCCGCACCAACATCGACAACAACAACAACATTTCGCCAAAAAATCACAACAGAGAAAACTGAAAACAACAAAAAAACAAAAATACTCGAAATGGCCGCAAAATCATTACAAAAACGGCAAATGGCCATGGAACATGGAACATGGAATATGGAATGCCCCATGTTGTAAGTATATATGTCTGTTAATCGTAGTACTCGTTAATAACTTGATAGATTGATAAATGTAACTGGATATTGCTTATTTCTTTTATGCTTATTTCTTATACGCACATATTGGTTAAGCTTTAGAAAATTAGACCAGAAATCTACATGAATGAAATGACGACTTTGTCAGTTGCTTGTGAGCGAATCCCTATAATATTTGCAGGATAATGGCTAAGCCAGGCAAATAAACTGGAACCGGTACTGTTAACCGATATTAACCGATTGAAACTCATAACCAGAATTGGATTCGAAATTCAATAAACATGAAACAAATATAAAAATAAGATGTTAAATCGTAATTTTGATTGTAGAACTTTGAGCAAACTTTTCTTCTCAAAGTGCGCAAACAATAATGCAACACCAATCAAACTTTAATGTTGTCCAAATGGCTAAGCTTATTTAGGCATGCAACTTTAACAAATCTGTGAAAATAAAATGATTTTATGGGCAATCAATCCGCATGTTATTACTGCCAAATTGAGCCAAATTGAGAGGAGAAGAGAAGAAGGCTCATTGGACTCACCGTTGCAGTTGATGAATGAATTATGTTGCTGCTGATGATGTTGATGATGGAGTTAATGCAGTTGCGGTTGCATTGCGTGAGGGCCAAATAGGAGATTACCCTGACCGGAAGCTTTGGTTGGCCACAGGACAGCAGATTACGAGTGGTTAACTAGTTGTTGTTTCCCTCCCCCTCACACGCACGCACTGGGATAGAGAGAGAGAGAGAGAGCAAGACTCTCAAACATAAAGCAATACTTTTTTTTAGCTTTGACTTTGACTTCAGCTTTGGTATTGGCCTCGCTGCCGAACGAACGTGGCCAAAAACAACGTTAAGAGGCAATGTTAAGGTGAATACTTTTCACACGCTTTCACTTGAACATCAACAAAAAATATATAAACAAATTTTGTTGTTTGTTGTTTGTCGTTTGGTTTTTCTCTTTTGCTCCCTTTTGAATTTGATTTGGCGCGTTCAAATGTTTAAGTCCATTGCAATATGTATAATATGTGACATTTCCAAGAAATTGCGCTTGATAGTTGTTCAATTCTCAACTCAAACAAAAACAAACAAAAAGCGTTGCACATACAAAAAAAGAATGGAAAAGCGCGATAAAAAACAAACAGCGCGAGAATCACAATAAACGAAACAAAAAGTAAAGACAAGCGCCGGTCGCTCAACGCGCACGACCTCCTCTCGTTTCAAATGCAATACAACAACTGTTTTTCATGTTTTCAATAGGTGGCAAGCGTCGAAGCTCTGAGAGGGACACATGTTGCTTGCTCTCTATGCTCGATAATGAGTAAAAAATAATCGCTGCCTATCGATATTTGTTTACTTTGCACGGATAGGTGGCGCCAAATGAGCAAATGGTTAATTACCTGCTATTAAGTCATTGAAAATGTAGACGAATGGCTCAACTTTTGATATTATTGTACATGCATTTTTTAAACTATATAACCATGCGAAAGGAGATAAAGCTAATCATAGTGGCAAAAACATTGTAGCCCCCACAACGAGATATCGCAATCGATTGTTCGTTGTCATGCACACGATTGCGTTGATTTCCGAATCTCTAGTTGTGATAACTTGCGCTAGAGAGCGCCACAGCTGATTTTCAATAGTGCATTACTTGTGCGCAGTGCGGCCAAAGTAGCGCTTTGTTGCTTTGTTAAGACTTGGAACTAAAACCAAATGTGATCGTAGCGATTAATCGTATACGATAAAAAGTCAGACAATCACGTAAATACAAAATATTATGAATATATTTTTAACACAATTTTTCTGAGTAATTTCCACAAATCAGGGATTGGACAACCATTGGGGCCACTCCTGAATCTCGTTGTAAAGCGTCAGCCCAGGACTTTGTGTGGATATTACCTGTGAGGCACCAATCAATCCGTAATCCTCGCTCAGTTCGCCCAGCTTCACGCCACATTCTATGAGCTGTTTGCACGCTTTCAGCGCCGCCGTCGGCGGAAGCTTATCTAAATAACATACATATATTAGTTTCAAGAATTCTTAAATAAAGAATTTTAGTCCTAATCTCGAATCAAAAATGTCTTCTTATATGCAAATGTAGATGCAACAATAAAGTGACATAAAGTTGATTCAAGAAAAAAATGGAATTTCTTCCAAGGGTATATACTATTTGGTAATAATTAGCAGCACGTACCCACAAAGTTGCCAATGAAGGCAATGCCCGTGCCGTTGCCATTGTAGCCATAGGTGTGGGCGCCAGTGACGCCCCATCCTTTACCCTCATACACGAGCCCATCGCTACCAATGAGAAAGCTATGCAGGAAAGAAAGAGACAGAGAGAGAGAGAGAGAGAGAGAGAGTGAGGGAATTGCAGGACATGCATGGTGAGGTGGACTTGGAGATGGACATGGAGCACTCACTTGTAGCCAATGTCATAGTAGTTCAGTTCGGTCTGATGATAGGTCTGCATGCCCTGCAGTATCTCGGCGCATTGGACAAACGAGTTGCACTCGCCGGTCACAGTGTGATGGATGATAACGAAGGGCACCGGTCGCACCTGATAATCGAGACCGCGCGCCGGTTTGCCGCCCCATTGACGCTTCAGTTTCATCTGTGGACAGTCTCCGGCTTTTTTCTGGTCCTTCCTCCCGCCGGCAACACCAGTTGCGGCAACAGCCAGCAAACCGACAATGAGCAGCGACAGCAATTGGGACATGATTTGGATTTGTGTGTGCTTTGGGTGTTCTGCCTTAGATCGGCTCTGGTTGAGTACTGGCAGTATGCCTTCTTATCATGTTTAACTACATGCTTTTTTATACTAGCTTGTCCCTCTCCATCTCTCTCCTCTCCCTCTCTCTACCTCTCTCTCTCTATCTGTCTCCCCTCTCTTTCTCACTCGCTAAGTCATAAGTGACGCACTTGTTTCGAGCGGAGATAGAAACAAGTTTTAATCTTGGTTTTGTTTTTCTTCTGCTTTTTTTTTTTCTTTAAGCGTTATTTATTTTTTAACAGATTCGCCTTAGTCCGGGAGTCCCAATGCGGCGCCTTCTGTTTCGCTTGCGGTGAGTGCCTAATTGAGAACGAAGAAACATTCGTTTATGAATCACATCCAATCTCAAATCCCTCTTCCTCTCTCTCTATCTCTCTCACACACTCTCTTCCTCACTCTCTCTCTGTTTGTCTGTCAGTGACAACTAATATACTCTATAGTCTGGCCGGCAATTTTTGATCGTAAAGTTCGCTTGCTCAAATCTCAAACAGTTATATCATTTTACTTCTATTAATTAAAAGCTAGAATTTTCCGTCATTCATCTTAATTCAATATCAAATGATCATTGAACTATGAATCATTTTACCGACATCATCAAATTCAAGATCAGGAAATTGCGATTTGATGTGACAATGATGAGTCAAATTACCCAAAAAAAAAACATATTAATTTTGAAATGTAACTCCCCCGTCAAATGTCGAAGGTAAATTATAAGAATAGAAGAAAGTGAAGTTCTGTGGGTTCTTTTTCTAATATCTAGTAGAAGACAAATAAGAACGACGCAGTAACCAAAAAAATAAATGAAAGCTTTTGCGAAAAGGTTTTATCGATGTTACACTTATCGATGTTATCGACTTCAATCGCAATTTTAAGGCGAACATCGACGAATATATATTGCAAATTTATCAGAGTATAATCACACAGAAGGCGAATTTGTAGTGTAGAATCTGTACAGGAATATATTTATTCAGAGGGAAAAAGCTATTGCCTTTGAAAATCGGCACTGTTTACACAAAATTATGGCAGTGCACAATTTTGAGACAGTGTGTTTTGAAGAGTAGAGTTCTTACATGAATTTCGATTTAAAGCCAAAATCATAGCGATTCAGATTTGTCGGTGAAACGTTTTAAGCTATTTCTGCATGACACGAAATCGTCTTTCGACCGATAGTTGATATGCTAGCTTCATTCCGATACTATATACATATGTAATATTTCATTAATAATAGAATATATATATGTTCCATTTACACACTTTACATCAAAGTAAAAATGCTTTCTCGAAGGGTATAACATGTTAATGCCAATAATTGCTTCGTGCTCCATGATCTCTCATAGAAAGGGCAAGAGAGGGAGAGAGAGAGAGAGAGAGAAAGAGAGAAAGAGAGAGCAGCCCAAGCTCTCCCCTTTTCATTCATATATAATTATATCTCTCCCCCTCTATCTACCAATTTCTATCTCTCTCTTTCGCTGTTGGCAACTGTGAGGCACTCATGTCTGTCTCAATCCAATCCTGCGCAACACCTGTGCGAGAGTCAGCTCGACAGGCTGTCTGCTCCGAGAACAACAGGGTGTCCGCCGTGCAGACGCGATTAGACGCTTCAATGGCTGCCCCGTCACGTCGACATGTCGTCAAATTGCCAATGGGCAATGGGACTATATGGCACTATATAGCTGGCAGCAGACAGCAGGCAGCAGACGGACAGTGCCAAGTCGAGTCGAGTCGGGCACATGTTCGATTATGGCCAAAATGCGACCGAGCAGAACACAGAAAGTGCGCTAGTTGAATACCGTTAAAAGGTTGGTTCCTGGGCTGGATTTGGGGTGCGGGTGGCGGGTAGTCGTCGATAGTTGATGTTGTTATTGTTGTTGTTTTTGTGCTTGAGTGAGTAATGCACAAGAGGGGCACCAACTGACAGAGAGAGAGAGAGAGAGTGCGCTTCTAGGAGCAGGCGCAGGCTGTCTGCCGACGCTGGCAGAGACTAGGGCAGACCAGTGGAGTAGTAGTAACGCTCCTTGCTGCCACATTCGACAATCGTTATCCGCCGCAGTCCGTGGACAGTCGCAGCGCGAGACGGAATCCTGCGCGGTGTGTTTCTTGGCTTCATCAAACTCCGTCCGCTTTTGCCTCCCCCCGCCACCCCCCCACACACACACAGACACTTTGCCGCTCCACTTGCTTTTTGTTTGTTCAGTGCGCCACGTGAGTGACAGGAAAAAAAAATATAAAAAATAATTGAATCGACGTGAAAATCGGTGAAACGTCAACAAAGCTAGAAACCAAAACCCAATGTGAAAAGTGGACAGAAATTTTAAAAATTGACAACAAGCAAAGTTCGTGAAATCGTTGTGAAAATTGCTAAAAATTAATCGGAGAATTATTGAAATTATGATTGTCAATATGCCCGTGAATGGGGCGACAAACAACAGCGCAGCCAGTGCGCATCCGCATCCACATCCACATCCGCATCCGCATCCTCATTCCAGTGCCAGTGTGCCCAACAGCAACAACAACAACAACAACTCAAACAGCAACAACAACAACAGCTCACAGCAGACACAATGTGAATTCAATTTCCTGAAGCGCAAATATGAATCGCAAGTGGACCAGCAGCAGTTGCCGTTGGAGCAGCAGGAGCAACAGGAGCAGCAAGAATATGAGCAGCTCGCCTCGAATCCCTGGAAGAAACGTCATCTCGACTATGATGTCAGCGGCGCTGGTGACATGTGCTTCCAGCTGCAGCTGGAAACGAACAACAGCACTGGGACTGTAACTGGTACCGTAACTGGAACATCTGCTGCGTCTGGTGCAGCTGGTGCAGGTGCTGGCGCTGGCGCCTCCAACTCCTCCTTTATCAATGATCTGTTTGCGTACGATAGCAGCCTGATGGTGCCGGCTGCCTCCTACTGTGCCCCGCCCAGTGCTCCCATGGAGGCGGGCGATGCCGGCGGCTGGCAGACGGGCGAGCTGCTCGAATTAGATCATCGCTACAATTCGGGACTGCAGACTGAGATCTCCCAGCTGAATGCAACGCTGCCGCCGCCCTCGCTTCCACTCTCACAACAACAACAACAACAGCAGCAGCAGCACCAGCAGCAGCATCAGGATCTGTCCAGCAACAGCTTCCTAGTGCCCATTCCTCAGAAGCAACAGCAGCCGGTGAATCTGCCACTGTCTCTGCCTCAGGCTCAGGCTCAGGTTCGGCAAGTGGCTTTCTGCAGACGCAGTTCGCCGGCGGCCAGTGAATCGGAGCCGGATTTCGAGGACAAGAATCTGTCGTGGCTGCTCAACTTCAAGTTCGATGAGTTTCCACATCTGTCCCCAGATGTTGGCGGCGCCGGTGTCGGTCATCGCCTGGGCAATGGACCCAGTGTTGGATTAGAGGCGGCCACGCCCACAGCGGCAGCGAATATGGCCAGCGCATCGCCCTGCAGCTCCGCCTCGCCCGCATCCGCATCCAATTCGAATCACTCGCTCAACTCCAGCCAGAGCTGCCACACAACATTGCTGCTGGAGCAACGTGGCTCGCCCAAAAGCTGTTCCAGTGCATCCACAACAGGCGGAGCAATCACAATAGCAACGGGAACGGGATCGGGTACGGGTACGGGATCGGGCACCGGAACAGGTACAACATTAAACACACACACGACCAAGACTGGCCGCAAATTTGAGGAGCTGGTAATGGAGGTCACCTCGGAGATGGATGGCAACGATATGATTGTCGCCGAACATGTTGTCGTTGAGGATACAACGTCCAAGGCGTAAGTAACCCATTTCCAATCTCTCTCCAAGCCCAACTCCAACTCCAAACCAATAACAGAAGATTATGGATAAGACATCTTTGGCAGCTAATCAGACTGTAACTTTTTAATTGATCAGAGATCAGAGTAGTCTCTTTCTAATATCTTACATCTGGCATTTTACAAGATATACCAGGTCATATCAGGTCATATCCATTTTAAAACTATCTTTTCCGCTTTAGCAATAAACTTTCTTTGAAGATTCGGTTCAACTGCATTTTGTTGACCGTTTTTTCCTTATGAAACAGTTATACAGCTATCTGAATTTTCGAGAAAACTAAACCGATTCCATATCGAATATACGCACAAGCTTCAATTTGCATTTATTCCAGAAAGTTGACAAATATTTCTGATCTCTTTTGTGCCACTCCACTTATCTTAAGCTATAAGCTGCTAATACTAGATAATAAATAAGACTGGATTTTACACAAATTTGACCATAAATTTGATAATTAAGCCATAAATTTATAGATTCCGAGAGTAGTCGCTGAAATCAGGTCTTGAATATTTGAATTGCACTCCTCCATTTTAATAAAATGTGCTCTTCTCTCTCTCTCTCTCTCCCTATTTCTCTGTCTCTATTTTTCTGTCTATCTCTCTCTCGCTTGTTTGTTGTGCGCCAATCGATGTGGACCACCCTCGGCACCTGCAACGTGGCGCCCCAAACTGCTGGCCGAACCACCCGCAACCACCCTCAACTAACCACCGCAAAACAAGCAGGCCAAAGAAACCACCGTTTACATACACGGAACTCATCGAATACGCCCTCGAGGACAAGGGTGAGCTGACGGTGTCGGGCATATACCAATGGATATCGTAAGTACTCGTCAACATCCACCATTCAGCAGTCATGCGCCACCCAACCCCGACCCCAACCCCAAACCCAAGCGGGTGGGTGGAGAGGGTGGGAGTTGGGTGGAAAGCCATTTTGTTCGTGTGTGTTTGAAGCGGCAAATGCCGGATGCAATTAAACAAATCTCAAGCATTTCTTGGCGCATTCCTGTTGGCCACTTTTTTGTTTCGTTACTTCTTCCTCATATTTGTTTGTTTTTTTTTTGTATTTGTTGTTGTTGCTTAAGTAACCTGGCTGTTCGTTCAACAACAGCAACAAAATATATAAAGTGCAAAACTTCCCGGTTCCAATAATTTATTACCTGCTAAAATGCTTTTCATGTTCTTTGTTTTAGTTGTTGTTGTTGTTGTTGTTGTGAGTGGTTGCTCTTGTGAGCTTCAATTGTGAAACACATCAGGGTTTGCTAATCTTGTTGTTCAACAAGTTGCCTCACATATCATCATTTCTTCACCATACAGCTTGGGATATGTCATTTGACTACATTACTTATTTTATTATACTAAGATTCGAACACGAATCCCAACTAACCTCTAATATATCTACATTAAATCGAATCTCTCGAAAACCAGTAATAACCAAATCAAAAAGTTTGCTTTCTTGTGAGTTCTCTCTATTTAATCCAAAGCATCTCAGATTAGTCATCGTTTCAAAATATCAAAGTTAAACAGAGTGCTAAAATCTCTTAAGTTAAGAATAACTTCTCAAATGAGAGTTCATTTATTCTGGCATAAAACATGTTTCTGAATGTTTGTTGTCTTTTTTCTTTCCATTTTTGATTCCCATTCTTCATTTCATATTGTAGACCTACATTTGAGGTTAACATTCTAAATTTAAGACTGTGGATTCACTGATTGTTTTAATATGCATAGTCTAATATATAACATATAAGTATGAACTACAAATCCCAACACTATATATAATAGTGTATTTTGTTACTCTAAATATAGTTTGAACGAAAATCTGATTTGATGTGTATGTAGTGCACTTGCTGAATAGTTTCCATATCTAGTTTCGTATCCGTCGGGCTAATTCAATCTCAGTTCATGTTCGCAATAACCTCTTGAAGGTCGCCGTAGGACTCGTATTTAAATAGCTATAAATGCAATTACCAACCACAACTATTTGCAACAAAAGGGAAAAGATTCTTTTGCATTCATTTGAATTTGGTTGAACTCAAATTCTTACAATTCGACTTGAGTAATTTTGATTGTGAACATGGACAACTTTTAATTGGAAAGGCATTCATTTCTACTTACATACACATAGATATATATATATACATATATATATATAGTTTATTCGTGTTCAATGTGTCTTTGGCTTCCTTCAGAGATCCACCCGGAAAAGTGGGAAAACCCCAATCCAAAATAGTATGTATATGTATATATATATATATAAGACTGTAAATGTAAATACATTAATTTGACAACAATAATATAAAAAAACTTTTAACACATTTTTCAAGGTTCATTAATTTAGTTACCCAGACCACCCGCTCCACCCGCCGGACGGGCCACAAATGTTGTCAATATTGTAGGCCTAGTCGCGCAGCCACGCAACGACTACACTGCACCTGTGCGAGGGGTTGTGCGCTTCCTAAGGGTAGGGGCGAGGGGTGTATGGTGTATGGTGTGGGGCGAATCAGTGTAAATATTTGAAGCCACACAGCTAAAATGTTGCGTGTAAATATCGTATATACATATATGTAAATTTATATAGCAAACCAAAAACCAAAACCCAAACCCCCATCTTTACCACCCGCCCCATCTTTACCAAAGTCGCTGAACAATTTATGACAGTTGCCCATCAGCTGCGCTCCTGCTGCCTCTGCAGCCCCTCTCTACCAGCAACCTGTTCATTAAATGTAATGAGCAAGCAGACCAACCAATTTTCCCTTTCCCCGCGCCCGACTCAGTGAACTTTTTTTTTTGTTTTTTTTTTGGGAAGTTTTCATTAACCATTCACAAATTTACTTTGCGGCCCAGCAAGGGGGCTTGTGGGGGGTGGGGTAGTGTTAGAGGGGAAGGTAGGTATAGAGACTAGGCTGAGGGTTGCATTCAACCCAGGGACGCGTCCTCGTCGTCCTAGCCGTCCTCGTTCAAGGCAAAAAAGGCGCCTGCGCAAATATCGACTTCAACTTCGACATCGCATCAAGTCGCCCACGCGACTGATACGCTCCTCTCTCTCCCCACTCCTTCTTGCCACTCCCCCGTGTGTGGCAATTGCCCATGAAATTTATACACACACACACACAACTGCACACAATAATTATTAATTGCCGGGGTTGAGACGCTGGCATCCAGGGACCGGGAACTTGGGAACCGTTTGCTGCGCTAAACGTTGCCGCCACTTTTAGGGGCTGTTCGCTGAGTTCTTTCCGGCCTTTCTACACCTTTTACACGCCTCAATGCATCAGGATCAGGTGTTTGACAAGCGCAACTCGACGCAGCAAATGCCAGCAATTATTCGGTCAACCCATTACCCCGAGCTCATCGCCTGATCGGGGGTGGTATGTGGATAGCGAGTCGGAGGTCGCTGGTCGGAGGTCGGAGGTCGCTAGTCGGAGGGCGGGGTGCTGCCCTTCCGGTCAATTTGAATTTGAATTGCATATTGAGTGTTTATTAGATGCGGATCATGCATCATTGCACATTGCACATTGCACACAGGCACCAGGATACGGGCCATGTGTGCATCAGGATCAGCTCGAACCCGGAAGAGCTTAAAAGTAAAACCTTGACATCCATAATACTATTTTCACAACACACAATATTGCAATGTAATAATAATTACATTGAGAAAAATATCCACTCAGATTGCAAAATTTGATTCAAGCAATTATTTGTTGAAAAGTTGAACTTAATAAATTGAACCTCATATTTAAACTTACAATCAGAAATGTTGAGTTTCTTCACATTTGCAATTACAGAATTTGGATCAGCATCATTAGCCGACTCAATAGGCCTATGGCTTTCTGTCCATTTATCCACTTATCAGGTGAACTTGGTTAGTTAAAAAGCTAACTTGATGGAACTTTTACTCTCCCGGTAGTCTGAGCAGGTCTTATCGGATCACTATATCCTGGGAACATTCTGTTGGAAGATTATTTCTAGCATGAACCACTTTTTGGCTTATCAAGTTATCCCAGCTAAGCCAAAACTAATCTGTTCTGTGCGTTATTATGCTGGCAATTATTTTATTATTATTTTAAGATTAATTTTTGAAAAAGTGGCAATCTTAATGAAACAAAATGCATCAGCACTTTATCTATCTTTTTTTTCTTAGAATACTCTTCGAAATTAGAGCAGACACATTTATTTAGATATGACTGTAGTTGTCTGCTTGCTTATTCCCCACTCAAGTTAGTTTTTTTGTAGCGATACCAGGAGAATATAGACCCATTGGGATGGGACTACGAGAACGACTCGAATATAATTTGTCTTAATTTCGGAAATGGATTGAGTTTCCATTCCATTGTTTTGAGGCAGATCTTTTATACAATAAGACCCCATTTTATATTGTCCTTAGAAAACAGAATTCACTAATAATGGCAATTAGCTTAACAAATATGACTATTTCCCATCAGTTTACCTTTTGATCAGCTTTATGACTGCAGAGTATATGAGTTCTTAATAACACATATTTTAAGAAAGGAATCTAATTTCAAATACTTTTGTATTGTCTGCTTAGTGCTACTAGATAATTGACAGAGAGAGAGAGAGAGAAAGAGAGAGACTGGTCTGTCTGTCTGTTTTTGCTGCTATAGGCGTGACCAGCTACGCCCTGATTTATATTTAAAAAGTTTCTGGTATTTTTCACTCAAATGAAGGCAACTCCTTTTGGCTGCCATAAATCCATAATTTTGTGCACATTTCGGCGACTGAGTCGAAAGAGAGGGGAGATGGGGGTGCGGGGCAGCCGCAACAATTTATGAACTAACTTGCGGCAGCAGCGCTTCAACTATATATATATATAAATATATATATAAATAAATATATATATATAGATATATATATATACCAGAAGTAGAAATCAACTCGAAACAAACCGCCAGAAGTAGTTGCCCAGTCTGTGTGTGAGGTGGTCCTGGGCCTGGGCCTGGGCCAGGGCTCGGCCTCGGCATCAGCCGCCATGTCAAAAATGAAGCTCTCTGTGTGTGTATGAGTGTGTGTGTACTGGCTTGTGCCAGGCACGCCCCGACACGGCACGGGCAGCCAGCCAGCCAGCCAGCCAGCCAGCCAACCAACCAACCATTCATTCAACCAACCATTCAGTCAGCCAGTCCGAGCGACCAGCCTATCAGACAGAATGCTTTATGAAGACTCTGGCAAGGACCCAGTCCAGGGGACCCACAGCCATACCCCAACACCCCAATTATACAGTGCAAAAAAAAAAAAAAAACCAATGGCATTCTGTGAATCTTGATTTAAGAACTTCGAGCTCAAGAATGCAAACCATGAATTAAGTAATTCGACAATCTGAACTCAAATTATTTGGAGAAAATTTGAATTTTTAAAACTGTGCTCAATCTGCAAAGCTTTGGCATCGTAAAATATAGCTTAATTATTAGAAAATATTCATATTTATCAGATAAATATTTTGTATCTTATAATTTGAAAAAGTTCGTTCTGAAAAAAGTGATTTAAATCAAAGAAGCTATGCTCGAAACAAATTTTTAGTTCTTCAAGAATTAACGATCTTGAAACTAAGAATATATATTCATAGCTTAAGATGATAATTCTTATACGAGAATAAAGAATAAGTCAAATCATATTTTTTAAAATGGTATAATGAAGTTGTGCAAAACTATGGAAGAAGGGAGAAGGGAAATTCGAGTTGATTTAACCGTGTCGGTTCATCTGTCTATTTGTCTGGCAATAATTGCTAGTTTTGATATCAGATTGTTAATTTTTCTCAGTGCACACACATCCGTATTGGCACACCTAGAATCAGGATTGGGGAGTCAGAGCCAGGGCACCGACACGGCGCCAACTCAAATTCAAACTCAATTACAGGTGCTGGACAGCAGCGCAGTAGCTGAAAGTAGCTGACAGCTGGCCTAGCACTAGCTTAACCCACACAACATACCACACACACTACCCACACCCACCCGCACCATATCCCATACCACCTCTCTCTCTCTCACTCTCTCTCTCTTACTTCTTCCCTCCCTCTGTCTCTCTTTGTCTCCTGGATGCCATTCGGCCACTCGCATTATTTTAGTTAGCGAAACCGAAATCGAAACCGAAACAGCAGCTACAAAATTCGACAGTCCCAAATAGAGTTTATTCTATATGTATATCATGTTATTATTACGCCCATTATCTGCAGAGGAGGCGGAGGGGGCTTAGTTGGTATCGCCTCCTCGCTGATGCCGTGTATTTCGACAATTTCATTCGAGGCCCCAAAAGCTGAAGGCGAATGCGAACGGGGCACAAGTCAGTCATTCAATTCATTGACAATGATGACGACGTTGATAGTGGGTATTTGATTTTATTCCAACCCCAGACCCAGACCCAACCCCAACCCACACAACCCCCCACATCAGCTCAATCAACCCTCCCGTTCGCTCTATCTATCTATCTGTTCAGTGTGGCTTAAGCGACGTTGACAATTCGACAAGTGCGAGTGCCAAATATACAGAAAAATATATACATATATATATGTATATATATATATATACAAGTGTATAAATTTTTGTGTATTCCTGTCTAAATGCTCACGCCCACGCCTATCGATTTGCCTAGGATTATGGGGGAGGCGGGCAGCGTGTGTCAGGGAACAGAGTGCATGATTAAACCATGCTAGACATGCAGCTAGCCGAGCTCCATAAACTACTATCCAACATCCAACATTTGACTGCACACATACACACACACATACACACACACACACACACTGCCCATGCATTTCCCGTACTCCTTATTCCATATTGCGAAAATTTTTGCATTTCGTATTTATAAATATACAAGTGCATTTGGGTCCTATTGAGGGTAGCGGGAGGAGGAGGCAATGTAAGGGATTCTAACAATAACATAAACATGCCAAACATGAAGAAAACAAACTCAATTTTGCACTTTGTTGTGGCTATTGAATTTACAATCATTTTTCAAAATACTCTACAAAATCAGACAACCTCCTTTGTATATGCATATGTATCTATATAGGTGTATAGCAAGTGGTATATATATATATCCATGAGTGAAACTTATAGCTTTTTTTTATATATTTCATAATAGATATTGAATTCATATAATTACGTTATTTAAGGCTTTAACTATTTCCTTACTCCTTATGGACATTTATTATATACTTATATATATTTTCTGATCCTCGATTAAGCTCAAAATATTGAAAATTGGTTAAATGGGTATAATGAGGTTGTGCTCAAGTATGTACCAGAAGGAAGCACCTCCGAGCCTATAAAATATATAAATTCTTGATTAGCATCAGTAACCAATTCCATTTAGCTAACTCCAACTGTCTGTATTAAAGCGCCGATCTTAGAGACTGTAAGAGCTGGACATATTTAAACTGCTCTTTCTCGCACCATACGCAATTCAGGTTGATTTAATTTCATCGATAATTTTGTCCGTTTCACAAATATCGATATGCGATAGATGTATATCGATATCTCTGATTGTGCCTTATAGTTCTGCACAAAGCTTAAAATCAAGAATACATCGATTCAAGTGAGTAAGAACTCTTTAGCCAAGAATCTATGTATTTGTATCTTTGGTACAAACCTAAATTATTGCTTTTTGAGAACACACGCTGCATTTCCGATTTGAGATCTTAGTTTGAGATTAAGAAAAATAAATTAATTTTAATATCAAGATTCGCAAGAGCCAAATAGGAGAATATATAGAATGTGTAGCTAATAGTTTACACAGAGGAAGAAGCTAAGGAAATCTAGCATACACCATCCACATAATGGAAGGCATTGCACACTCTAACCCTCCACATCCCCCCCCCCCCTCATCCCTTCCGCCTCACCCACACACGGAAAGCAATTTGAAGTGCCATCTTTTTTAGTTGTATGAGTTGAGTTTGAGTTTCAGTATTTCAGTTGATGTTTGGGTTGATGCGTCATGACGTCTGCGTGCCGCATACGATATGGTTATGGATATGATTGTGTGGTGTGGCACTACACAATCTCTGTGTGTGTGTGTGTGTGTGTGGCAGTTATCAGAACATTATGGGGGAAAGGAGAGTGGGAAGGAGCTGATCATTAAAGAGCTGCCTGACGCTGCCTTTCAACTTGAGCGCAGACAAGCCCCAAATGCTTACCATAGATTTATGCATTCCATTTCATTTCGTTCCATATCCATTTATGAGTCGTCATTTTGCCCAAAGAGAAAATAAACTATATAGATATATGTGTGTGTGTGTGTATGTGTGTGTGTGTGTGTGTGTGTGTGTGTATGTGTCTAAAAAGAAGAGTCTGAATCAAATGCGGCCCACAATGGCCCTCGCGTGTTGAAATACAGCAATTTTTTTGGATTGCTTTTTGGCTTAAGGAGGAGAAGGAGGAGGAAACGGAGCAGGTGGAGGTGAAGGATTGCAGGGAACAGCAGCAGCAGTTAACCAATGACATAGCGCTGCTCCTGCTCCCGCTCCAACTCCTGCAGCGGGGGTTGTTTTCGGACCCGGCGCGTGTGCACCAGTCGTGTGTGTGTGTGTGTGTGTGCCGTAATTTGAAATACTTTCCATTTTGTTGCCCAACACACCACCGCAACCCCCTCTAAGAAAGAAAGAGAAAGAGTGAGGGAGAGAGAGTAAGGGAGAGGGGATGGGGGCCTTGCGTTGGTGTCGTTGTTGCTGCTTTGCTGCCCAGAGTGGGAGAGCGCTCGGCACGCGATGTCCTTTCCGGTCGACGTAGTTTCCTTTTTACATGCATATGTATGCCCGCCCACCTGCCCACCTGCCCATCCATCTCTCTCTTTCTTTCTTTCTACTTTTGCTCCACGTCCAAATCGCCTGTTCGTGACTGCCTACAAAACGACGCATAATTTGTGCCACTGCTGCTGTCCGTGTCCGTGTCTATCTCTCTCTCTCTCTCTCCCTCTCTCTCTCTTTCTGTCTCTTACTTTCTATGTGTATGTGTGTGTGGAGGTCTGCCGCAGTGCCGTGTGCCATGACGTGTTCCACGTAAACTGCATGCTCAAACTTTAATTGCAACTGGTCAAAAGAAAGACAAAAACAAAATTACAATCGTCTCTCAGCAATCAATTGGGGGTAACTTCTGACCAACTGGTAGCCAATCCCAATTCTGGCCAACACACACACACACACTTTTGACCAATCGGCAGTCGGCTCAATGGTTAACCGCTTGTATCCAAAACCTTAATTCGTATATAATGATAATTATAATAATAATATTATTTAATAATAAATAATATTAATAATTTCTTCTACTAACTTTTTTCACATTTCATTCAAACTTCAATGTGAAAAAATATGTTTTAAAAAATGCATTTACATTCCTTACCCAATTCCTACTCAACTTACCAATTTGTTCTGGCATTGCCCCAATCCCTACAACAACAATATAACTACGCACCAAAACATATTCACAAGTGTATCTATTTCCATACATACCTACTTATATATGTAATGTAAGCCCATTTACATTTTTTACTTATAATTGTACATGTAATTGGTACAAATTCAGGCTATCCAACTATTTTCCAATTAAGTTCACATAATGTGTAAGGCATACTTTTCGGAGCATTTTGTATAAGTGTGGGCCTCTTAAGATATGCAATACACATTTTAAGCGAGTTCTTAAAAACATTAAGTTTATATTTTGTTAAGATTTATATATTTAGATATATATTTTTAATTTTTGGAAATTCACATCGGTTCAGTCTCAGGTTTAATAAAAAAAAGCAGACATTTTTGACACACTCGAATTGCTTTGCTCTGAGCTGATCGCTCACGTTCTCCTTCTCACTCAATTTGTATCTCTCCATCTCTGTCGTTTTCATGCAGCGATCGCTTTCCCTACTACAAATCGAATGATGACCGCTGGAAGAATTCGGTGCGACACAATCTTTCAATCAATCCACACTTTCGCAAGGGGGTAAAAGCGCCCCAAGGCGCCGGCCACTTGTGGGCCATATCCAGCGGCGATTCAGCGGAGAATGTGCTTGCCTGGGAGCATGTAAGTCCAATATACACACACGCATACACACACACACACACATACACACACACATTCTAATAATACTTTGATTATCAAATAGAAAAAGCAACGTTTGGATTTGTTCTTTAAAATGGAGTCCATCAATCGGGAGCGCATTCAACAGCATCAACAGCAAATGCAACAGCAACAACAACAACAGCAGCAGCAGCAGCAACAACAACAGCAACAACAACAGCAGCAGCTGCAACAACAACAGCAACAGCAGCAAAATTGCAATTCACCACAACAACAGCAGCAGCAACAACATCAGCAACAACAAAATGCATCAAATTGCATTTACGATGAGGCAGCTGCGGCTGCAGCGGCGCTAACGCAGGAGATGCTGCAGCATGCGGCGCCCAGTGAAGCATCGCCAGGTGGATCACAGACGCATTCGCATTCGCATCCGCATCTCAATCATCATCAGCAGCGTCTGTTGCCCTTCAGCGATCTGCTGAGCGACGAGGAGCTCCGCAAGACGGCGGGTCAAATACTCAATGGGATCCATCGGGAGGTGGAGGTGCAATCGGTGAACTCCATTATCAGTACCTACCAGGATGTGCTCCTAGACAATGGTGAGGAATATCTGATGTAAGTGTGAGCGTGTTGATTTATTATATGTTTGATTGCTTCCAGAAGATTATCTCAATCCCATACATAAGGATGTGGTGGTCACCGAGAGCGGTCTGCGCCAGCATCAGCATCACCACCACCAGCAACAGCACAGTGGCGGCAGCAGCAACAGCAACGGCGGCGGCGGCGTCGGTGGCAACAGCAGTAGCAGCAGCAGCATACTGGCCAGCAGTTTAACACACTCACAGTACTATATAACAGAGATTGATCCAATGGAGCTGGGCATACAGATGTCACATCATCAGGTGGAGCCCTCTGAGGAGGAGGTTCTCTTCAGTGACGACTTCAATCTCAACTATTTTGGCTATAATCCCGGCAGCGATATTGTCGCTTGACCGCGCAAGCAGCAACAGCAACAGCAGCAGCAGCAGTCGCAGCAACAGTTGCTATCAACGGTTACAACAGTTGCAACAGTTGCAGCTGCAACAGAGCAGCCAGAGTACTCATAAGCCAATTCTAAATCAATACTAGTCACACTTACTAAATCTCAATCGTCTATCTTAACTAACCACCTAAGGCAGCAATACGACTGTAGGCATATTTGAATATTTCAAGTCCCTTCCTCTGTCTCTCTCTCTCTCTCGATCTCTCTCTCTCTCTGTCTCCCCTTCCCCAGATTTCTGTCCCAATTCCCATGTATAGTCTAGTCTTCAATGTACCAATCAAATACCCTTCTTTTTTTTTGTCAACTTAAATGTAATCCTAACTATACCTAGTTGATCGCATAGACTGTAAGAGTAGCTACTATTTAAGATTAAGCATTCAAATCGTACACAGAAATCATAATTCTTGTTCTGGCCATAATATCCATAACATCCATACATAGAATCTTAACTACATACATATACCAGATATATATACATATTCACACATTCATAGATACTTACCTATAGAGTTCTGTCTCCTAGTCTAGTCTCCTAGTCGTATAGTCCCAAATGCTAATACTAATCATAGTATGTATCGATATTGTTTACCTTACCCCCGACATGTAGCATAATGGCACTTATCTCGTACAACTACTGATATATTTCATTTATATATTATGGCAAAATATATCTTCTTTTTTTTTGAATTTACATTTCAATTATAAATCGATGTGTGTTTGCAAGTATGCACCTCGAACAACTCGCAACTGCAACTGGGGTAAGTACGTAAAATAAGATCGAAGATTGCGTTCCCCTTCCTTTTTGTACCGTGGTCAATCTGTCGACATATAAATTTCAGGTGTTATTCGAATAAGTTTGCGATTCCAACTCAAAAGTGTGTTTAGTGACGGAAGAAAATTTCCCTGAGCCATAACCATAATCAGTTTCAATAAACTACTTATTAATGCGTACCTTCAGATGGATACACTAAGATCAGCGAGCTATGCCACAGTAGCTTACTACAAACAGAAAAGGTCAACTTTCAGGACCAACTTAAATGTTGAATCTGCCAGATTTATTTATTCATATTTTCCCAAAATGGTTTCCATCAAAATATTGGTTGTTGGGTCGTTTTTCGCAGTGCGTTGCCAGTAATCATTTTCAGTGAATGAAACCGATTGTTTTGCCTCTTAAAGAATTATTTTTATGGGTGAGTTCAAAGAGTTTATTTTCTGAAATTTAATATACTTCGTCACAAAAAACTTATTTGCATCTTATTTCATACATTATACAGGACAGGGATACTTCCCTTCCCAATGTGTCTGTGGTTTACAAAACTTGTTTATGTCTTGCTTTCTATATAACTCAACTGTATTGCTTAAAAACTAAATATTTTTTTTTGCTAAAGTGTAAATTAATTTGATATATTAATATCGATACGTAAGGTAAGGACGTACACACACGAGGGGAGGGCAGAGAACAGGAGGCGATAATGGCCCTACAACATAACTTAACTCACATGGATTATATATCATTATATATGTAAGACTAAACTTCCGATAAGAATTCCAAAATTGATATTGATCTAAGTGTTTCGACTTATGTACGACACAAAAAAAATATATATATATATGTTGTAAAAAAAAAAATTAATACCGCCTACGCCATTGCGCAAAGCTCAATGCGATTACGATATAGATATATTTATATATATATATATGGTATATAGTACACAACGGGCCAAATATGGTCTAAGTGTGTCAGCCGACATAGCCTAGTATATAGTATATGTGTATGTATATAGTATATAGTTGCTGCGTAGTGCAGCCTAGGTTAAAAAAGACAGACGTCGGCTCTATTTAAGACTGCCCTCCGCCAATGGATTTGTGAGACATATGCCAACATGCCGCTGATTCAAAACCTGAAACTGCTGTGCCTACCTCTCCACATCGCAGAGACTGCTGTGTCTGCCTCTCCACACTGCAGAGACTGCTGTGTCTGCCTCCTATACGTATTGATGAATATGCATATCAAATATTTACGTCACATCTCCCTCGGGAGACAGAGATAGATTTGGGTCTTTAGTCGTCACTCTCCTCGAACGTGGGACTGCTGGGCGAATACGCAGGACTCGTGGGACTGTAGTGTGAGGGAGCCGTTGGCGAGTACATCGGCGATGTGGGCGAATAGTTGCGTGCCGTTGGCGTATACGTTGGCGATGTGGGTGAATATTTGGTGCTGCTCGGCGAGTAAATTGACATGTTTGGCGAGTAACGAGGACTCGTCGCCGAATATGTTGATCCTGTTGGACTGTATTGATTCGATGGCGAGTGCTGCGGCGAACTGGGTGAATACAGTGGCGATGTCGGTGAATATTTGGGTGAGGCCGGCGAATACTGCGGCGATCCCGGCGTATATTGTGGCGAACCTGGCGAACCGTCATACGATGGCGACGGCGGTGAATATGTTGGCGATGTTGGTGAATATTTAACGCCCGTCTGTGAGTATGCCGGCGATGCCGGTGAATAGTGGGGCGAGGCCGAATAATTTGGCGATGTCGGTGAATATGAGGGCGTTACGGCCGTATATTTCGGGGACGTTGGTGAATACGATGGCGATGTGGGTGAATAGCAGGGCGATGTTGGCGAATACGATGGACTCGACGGTGAATACGATGGGGACATTGGTGAATACGATGGCGAATTGGGTGAATAATTTGATGAGCTAGGCGAATAGGCATTACCAGGCGAATACAAATTACTACCACTGCCGGCGAAAGATGGACTCGACTGGAAATTTGATGTCGGCGAATAGACGGGCGATGTGGGCGAGTAGCCCGAAGACGATGGTGAATATCCCGTCGATTGTGCATTGAAATTGGGTGTGGCCGATGCATAGCGCGGACTAGTCGCCGTATATAGCGGCGATGTTGGTGAATAATTTGGACTCGATGGTGAATAGTTGGGCGATGCGCCACCGGGCGATGATGCTGTATAATTGGGTGATGTCGGCGAATACGATGGCGACACACTGGGCGAAGCTGGGAAATACGGCGACATCGATGGCCCCGGCGAACTGGGCGATGAGCCGGGATGTGCCGGCGACCAGCTCGGTGACATGCCAGACGCATCCGATGCAGCTGAGGGCGAGAAACTGGGCCCACCTGGCGTCATTGCGCTCACTGCAAAAAAAAAAAAAAACGAGACAGAAAAATAGTTTGAAGTCAATAAGATGGCAATCGTTAAGGGAAATTTGCCGAGAATGTGCGAATTTCATGAATTATAACCGTACCGTGACCTGGCGGTGAGAAGTAGCGCGGCGTATGGCAATTGACCCACGGCGTCATTGGTGGCGTCATGCTGGGCGTGGAACCGCCGCCCATAAAGATGGCAGCACCGCCAAGCATACTGCTACCAAGGGAATTGGGTATCTCGATGCCGAAACGGCACTTCTCGGCGTCCAGCAGCAGATCGAAGCAGCCGGTGCCCATTTTGGGCAACTGACCCATAATTATGTTCTCGGAGACGCCACGCATGGGATCCGTTTCGGCATGGGCGGCCGCATCCATAAGCACATCGACAGTCTCCTCGAAGGAGCAACGCATCAGGGCGCCCGTATCCTGTCTGTTGATGCCGTGACGTGTTATGGCCATCAAATGACCCTTGGCCGTCATCACATCGCAGAGCAGCGCCAAATGTCGATAGTTGACGTACAGGCCATAAAACTGTAGCACAGCATTCATCTCCTTCTCGACACTTTTGCGCACGGCCTCGATGCCGAGCACCTGGAAGATTTCGCAAATATCGTTGGACGAGGTGCGTATGGGATCGACGTCACGCTCGGAGAGCACCTTCATCATCGATGTGCCATCAGTCTCCAGCAGCCATTCGCCAATCGCCTTGAATTCACCCGTCTCCGTGATGACGATACGCTTCTTGCTGTCCGTTTGGGGCAGATGCATATAAACCTTGCCAATCGCCTCGATGCCCTGCAGTGTCATGTCCGACAGCATATTGGCCTCGATGCACCGCAAAAACATGTCATCCTCCATTTTGTCAACGGCCTCATCTTCGTCCTGGAATTTGTTCTCCTCATTGTTCATGATCCGGATGCGCAACACCAACTTATCCGCATTATCATCGTTGAAAATGCAATTAAGATCTTCGCCAAAGCCAACATTGATCTTCTCAGCAATCTGTTCCATTGTCAGTTTCTTGTCCGTCATCCGTTTGCGATCGAGTTCGATGCGCAGCAGCCACGGCGAAATGCGTGTGGGATCAAAGTCGGGCATCTCATAGTAAACATTCACGAATTCCTGATCCTCTGATATGACAGTGCGCTGCGGATCCGGATCATAATAGATGGCCGTATTCGCTGTCACCTTGCGCAGCGTGGTATGCTCCAATCGGCACAGCACATTTTTCGCCTTCTCCGCATCGCGAGCAGCGCCGCCCGTAAGGAATACGGTTAGCGATGGCGCTTTCGGTTTCTTCGATATGTTGATGATCTCCTTAAGCCTAGGCACACCCAGCGTTACGTTCTTGGATGAGACGCCAGCAAAATGGAAAGTGTTCAGTGTCATCTGGGTGGCGGGCTCGCCCAAACTCTGGGCAGCCAGGGCGCCAACCATTTCACCCGGATTTGCCTGCGCCTGCTGGAAACGTGTCTCAATCTCACCGATTAACCACTCAAAGGCCTCCGTCGACAGCCGAAACTCCTCCGATACGTATTTGGTGCACAACGTCGAACGGATGAGGCACTGGAACAGCAACGTTGCATTCTCGTTCGCCTGTTTCGAGATGCGATCGTTGCCCGTAACGATGACGCAACGGTTGAGCAGATCGCTAACACCGCGTATCACCCGCATGGGCGATAGATCTGTCGGCAGTCGCTTGTTAATGTGAAAGATCTTCTGCACGTTCCAGATCATGCGCTGCAGATTGCAAGGCAGCACCACTTTCGAATCACCGTTGCGGAAAATGGTGCGCAGATTGTCGCGATCGGTAACAAGATGATCCCATTCGGCCTCCAGCTCCTGGATGGCAACACTGCTCTCTGTTATCTCCTTGATCACATCATCGGCGAACACTTTGCGCATATAACGCTCATTCGACCAATCGAATTTGAATCGTTTCTCGAATACCTTGTTGGACAGCTTAACCGTCGGCATATTCTGGAATTCGACCAATTCGCCGCAGAGGCCATCCTCGCCGTAACGCAACTGAATCAGTTGGCCGACAGAATTACGAACGGTGCCATCATAATTGACCATCACCGATTCCATAGCCTTTATGAGACGACGCTGAATGTAACCGGTTTCCGCTGTCTTCACAGCCGTATCGATGAGACCCTCACGACCGCCCATCGCATGGAAATAGAACTCGGATGGTGTCAAACCGGCCAGATATGAGTTCTCGACGAAACCTCGCGACTCGGGACCATAATCATCCTTGATGAAATGTGGCAGAGTGCGCTTCCTAAAACCGTACGGTATCCGTTTACCCTCCACATTCTGCTGACCCACACAAGCAATAACCTGAGAGTGGAGCGTAGAGTTTAGACAATGACCGACCAAGTGGGATGAGGGCCACTCTTTTCCTGGAAACTCACCTGTGAGATGTTAATGTTGGAACCCTTGGAGCCGGAGACGACCATAGCTTTTAGATTGTTGTATTCGGTGAGGGATTTCTTGGCGGAACCACCAGTTTTGTCACGAGCATCGTTGAGAATGCGATTCACCTTGTTCTCGAATGTTTGTCGCAGTGTGTTGCCTGGTGTCGGTTCGAGTTCCATGTTGTGGGCCTTCTGGATAACGTTGATGACATCGTCCTTGGCCTTCTTGATGGCCATCTGGATCTCGTTATAGGTCTGCGGATCGGCAATGGTATCGCCAATGCCAATGCTATGGCCCTCGAGCAGCAACCAATTGTTGATCACCGTCTGAATGTTGCCGTAGAAGCGTCCAGCAATATCATGTCCTAGCTCCAGGAAACAGATATGCAGCAGCGAGCCGGCCGAAGTGCCCAGTGTCTTCTTGCAGAGAATGCCCATGATGAGGTCACCGTGCTCGACCATGACCTTGGTGTCACCGGGCGATATCCACTTGTATGGACCATCATCCTCCTCATCGGGATGCGTTGAATGTGTACGGATCATGTTCACGTTGCCGGGTATAATCAGAGAGAAGATCTGTTTGCCCGTCCACAGGGGACGCGGCTTCAGGATGCACGGCTGCGGCATCTTGCCATCCCACGTGGGCAGGAACATCAACAGATTCATAACCTGTTCACGCGTTATGAACACATCCCGTTTGGTCATTTTCCGTACCGCTGTCAGCGTATCCTGGACAATGCCCATAACCGGTTTGTTCGCCTGCGGCGTGATAATCTGACGCGGTGTAATGTGTATGTTCTCAACCTCGGCGCGTGTCTCCATCGATTGGGGCACATGGAGATTCATCTCGTCGCCATCGAAATCAGCATTGTAGGGCGATGTACACGACAGATTCATGCGGAACGTTGACCAGGGCAACACTTTCACCCTGTGCCCCATCATACTCATCTTGTGGAGCGTCGGCTGTCGATTGAATATGACCAGATCGTCGTCACGCAAATGCCTCTCCACCTTATAGCCGCACTGCAGATGCAAATCCGAGGATTTGGGATGAAATCGCAAATCGATACGTTCACCATTGTCACGGACAATGTATTTGGCGCCCGGATACTGAGAGTTGCCGCGACGCACCAGCTCCTGCATGCGATCGATGTTAAACGGCGTCACCAGCTCTGGGAACGTTAGATTCTGTGCAATGGAACGCGGCACACCCACTTGATCGATACGCAAATTAGGATCCGGTGTGATGACAGTGCGGGCCGAGAAATCGACACGTTTGCCCATCAAATTGCCACGAATACGTCCCTCTTTGCCCTTGAGTCGGGCCTTGATCGCCTTTAATGGTTTGCCAGACTTTTGCATGGCGCGCGGCATGCCGGGCATATCATTGTCCACTAGCGTGGCCACGTGGAACTGCAACATCTTGATGTTCTCCTGGATGACATGAGCAGCGGCGCCACTGCCCTCGTTCTTGCGCAACTCATTGTTTGCCTTTATGATGTCCGCAAGCTTGTGCGTTAAATCGTCCTGATTTTTGGCGGCGCCAAACATAACGACAGCCGGACGCACCGCTAGCGGCGGCACTGGCAACACTGTGACAATCATCCAATCGGGACGAGCATATTTGGGATCCATGCCCAGTATGAAGCACTCCTCGTCGGTGATGTGCTTTAGTATCTCCCAAACACGCTCCGCCGAAACAATAATCTTTTTCTCTTGCGAATCCTCGTTGACGTGCTTCCATTCTGCGGTTAGATCGAGTCCGGTGCGTCGTATCGAGGGCTGGTAGTGACCGCAGCCACCATGCCCTGGTTTCTTATTCGGATCGACCTGTTGATTGTCCTTGGCCAAATCCATGTCTTCGCCACCCTCGCAAATCGTTTTGCCCTTGCACAAATCGTAGACGTAGGCGAGACGTTTGCGCGGCTGACCTTTGGACTTCATGACGATCTCCTTGATCTTGGGATTGTTGGGCGACACCAGCATCTTGGAGCAATAGAAACACACACAGCGCAATATCTTAATCGTTTTCGTGATGAAGCCAATGTGAAAGACCGGCTTGGCCAAATCAATATGTCCAAAATGGCCTGGACATTCGGTCATGTTGCCCGCGCACGTCTGGCAGCGCGACGTTCGATCGATAACACCCTGACGCGGATCCATCAGACCGCCCAGCTTTGGCCGGCCGCCCTCCAGCGTCTCAGCGAACTGGACGCCACCCTCCGTAACGGACATGCGGCGCTGCAAATAACAAATAACAAATCACAAATAATTTTCCAATTTCATAATTCATGTGTAATAAGTTGGAGTAAGTGAATCATCAATCAACATATAATAATAATATAATATATATATATATGTATATATATATATATTGTTTATTTTACTTTGTCGATCGATTTCCAATATGGCGTCGATCTCACGAATTTTACTTACAATTTCATCGGGTGACAAAATACCAAACTGTACACGCTTCACCTGGCGCAGCGGCGCCTTGGAGTCCGTTGTGGTGCTCATTGTGATCCGTGATCGTCACTTCAGTGTGAGATCTTATTATTGTCTGGAATTCGCTCCAATTTTTGTTCACAGTTTTTTTTGGGCCCACGAAAATTATGAAAAGTTGGAACGCGTGGCCACCACAAAGCCGCAGGGCAGCGTCGATTAGCGCCTAAAAAGAATTCACGTTCAAAACAATAAATAGCCGAATGTAGTTTCTGATTTTTTTCTTTTGTGCATTTTTATTACAATTGTAGATGCTTGAATAGAAAATTCACTGCAAAATACGCGTTTTTTTTTCCACAAGCAGACGCGAGCTGAAGCGAACCGAAAAGCGCAATAAAATTTGTAGTGGGTGTTCGATTTGATATCTTTGCAACTCTGTTTCGCGTCTCTCTCGGTTTTTTACGCTCAGAAGTGGATGATTTGAGGGCCTGAGCATTCTTTGCAATGGCGCAGTCTTCAAATGGCGCTGCGCATATCAACAGTTTGTTTGTTTTGGTTGTTGTTGTGCAACAACGTGGCAATCTGACATATGTCATTTTATTGCGAAAATGTGCAGCATTTTAGTTTCCTTATTCTAATCTATTGCCTCAAACTACGGCAACTTAATGAATACTGAGTATTGAAAGTAGAAACTATCGAAATGTTCTCACCACATTCAGGGTTGATATTTTGAATACATCGTAGTGATGTATATTTGATATAAAATATATGTTTTACTCATATTTTCATGTTGATATTAATTAAATTTTCATTAATGTTTCAAAATGCAGTTCGTTTTGCTTGTGCTCCCTACGCGCGTAGTATGAAGTATTATTAAACATATCGCACAAAAGTATCGATATTTATTTTAGATCCAAGCAAAACAAATCAACGATAAATCATAATATTTGCAGGAATCGTGATTACGCCAATCCAAATAAATTCAGGAAAGAAGTTAAGCAATGAGCGAAGCCGTCCCCGCCGTAGATGCAGTGGCAGCGGAAAAACAGCGCAAATTTCGGATACAAGGTACCAATCTAAAATGTAATTGAGCATAGCGTCAAGCATCCAAGCGATACATAAATTTAATAATTGTAAAGCGGCTGCGTTTATGGGACTCGTTGGCGGCATCTCGGCCTTATTTGGATTCTCGCGCACTCTAGCAACGGCCAAGAAATCGGATAGCAAAGTGCTTCAGCAGCAGGGCACACGCCAGGGCATCATCCTTATGGATGAGGGTGCAACACTTGCCATGCGTGCTCTCGGCTGGGGTACACTTTATGCCGTCCTTGGCACGGGCACATTTTTCTATGGATTTTGGAAACTGAGCGGCGCCAAAGATGTATGTATCCCACACACACACACAGGCACATGAATACATAATTAGATTTGTTTATTGTTAATTGTTTTCGCAGTTCGAAGAGTTTCGCATGAAAATGGGCAACGCCTTGCCGCGCATTACCAAAGATGAACCACCTCAAAGCAGCACCGACTTTGAGAGCCTTACAGATTTAATGAAATACCTGGCCGCCTGGAATAAAGAGTAGCCTTGAAATATATATAAATAAATATACATATGTGCACACAGCGCAGAACTGAATCATTTGAGTATGATTAAAATAAAAATTCGGCACTCCGCTCAACTGTTCCTAATTTTACAGTTATTCAGCCAATGCATAACATTTTATGTATTGTCATCGAATGGGACTATTAAAAAAAATATATTAATTGTTGAATTCATTTATTTACAGTTGATGTTTCATTTGTAGCTAATCTTTGATTCCAGCCAAAGTTTCGGCGGCCTTATTTCGCTGCATTTCGTTTATGTGAAATTGGCAGCAATCTTTGAGATCCTCCAATCTTTCCTGCATCTGCTCCGTCTCCGCCATGAAGACGCAGGCATCGCTCATGAACGTGCCAAAGCCGCGTACATAATTCTGCAGATCAGGCCCCTGATCCAAATACGCCTGCTGCTCCATGCTGGGCTTGTAGCTGCCCGCCTCCGCTCCGTTTGCGTGCGACGTCTTCAGCATCTGTATGTTCCTTGTGACGAAGTTGCACCAATTCTGCTTCTCACGCGCAACTCGCTCCACAAAGGCATCGATGCCAACGTTAGTCGCATTGCAAACAGATCCTACTACAAAATAATTATAACAATAATTAATATATATATATACATATATATGTATATCGGATTACAATCGGCTAAGTCGAGTGTGGTGTTAAATATGCTTCTTCTTCTTGTGCTGTATTCGGGTTGCGAATTTGATGTTATGGTGTTTTGCAGTTTCTTCACAACATCTTCGCCATCCACATCGGATATGTCATCCACATCACTCAAGTGCGCCATCATCTGCTGATTTAGGCAATTTTCCGAATAGTTCACAGAATTAGGCGATCCCTCCATTTGAAAGAATCCACAAGATCTCTTAAAAATAGAATGGCGCGATTGCGCCGTTATTCGGCGTCACTTTCTGCACGAGTTGTATTCGCAATTGCAATCGATGACAGTCATCGATACGCTTTTCACCGAGCGCCTCTATTTGAATTACCAAAATAAAAGAAGAAAATTAATGCGTTAAATTGTGTTAAATCAAAGTAGGCATTAGGTTTACTATTGAAATAGTTGTTCTCAATTTAAGCGGAAGCCTGTGCTGAAAATTCCAAATTTGAACAACTCGGAAAATTGTTCTTCTCAAATTTGTAAGAGTTCTTTAGAAAACCACCAATGTGTTATGTTTTCGGATATGATTTACGATTTTATAACAATGCTAATGTTCTGGTTATATCCGGCATTTGCGTCCCACAATAGTTTGAACGCATCTGAGGACAACCAGGTGCCATGGATGAAATACTGGATTGTCTTTGGATTCTTCAACGCGATATCCTGTCTTACCAGTGGCCTAGAGACCTGGATGCCATTCCTCAAGACCCTCAAGTTTGCCATTATGTGTTGGATGCAGCCCAGCCTTGGCGGCGGCTACCAGTTGATTCTCGATAGATGGCTTGGTCCTCTTCTCAGGCGCAACAGCGCCAAAATCCAAGTCATCCTCGATGTTGTCAGCAACATGAGCAGCATCATCCTCCGCGAACTGATCAAAATGGTGTGTAATGATGATTATCGGCGTTGTCGACTATTGCTGGCAGATGACACTCGATGACGATGATTTTCATGTGACGCCTCGTCTCCAGTCGGCCGTCAATGAGGTGATTGCCGAGCTGCGCATGGCCAGGCAGGCAGCCGCTACCTTAAATTCCTCCTCGTCGAATTCTGAAGCCAATTCGCTGGCCTCAAGTTCCAAACGAAAACCCAAAAATTGTAATCGCAGCACACAGTGCAATCCAAGTACCAAATGACCGCCCATGATAAACAGCTGGCCATTCTGCTCACCGAATCGATTAACGGCAAACGTATGCAGTTTATCCAGTAATTGTCCAGCCTGGAGCATCTTGTGCCCATCAACTGCTGCGACTGCCACAAAATGACTTCAGCTGCAGCTGAAGCTTAATGAGAAAATCCACTCTGCGGACGATGGCGTTTGTTAAAGAACTGGCGACGATGGAGATAGAAGAAAGAGAGAGAGAGAGAGAGCGAGAGCGAGAGAGAGACATAGAGAGATGTGGCTCATCTTAGCTCAATCCTTTATATTGTTGTTGTTATTTATCAATGAATCAGTTATCAATTATGAGTTATCAGTAAGTTAATCTTATGCTCCTACATTGCATACGTTGAATAAATTAAGCTGTTGCCAAAACTACAGACTAAGCTTAGATTTAGGTTTTCTCCGACGGCGCGGTCTCTGCTAGGCAACCGTCTTCTTGTCCCTTTCCCGCTCTCGCTTCAAGGTTGGCAGTCGTGTCCAAATGAAGCCGCCAGCCCGTCGCGTCGCATATTCATCCACATCCGGCAGCGGGAACGGCGTCGTCCGATCATAGTAATAATTGCTGGGCGCATGCATCACAAACTCAAGGAAGCACAGTTTTCGGGACAGCTCCTCGTCTGGACCTGCATAAGGAGAAAAAGGAAAAAAAAAATAAATATAAATATATATTAAATGCTTAAACTACACATGATCTGATCAAGGGTATATATCCAGAGAGAGAGAGTCTCCTCTAGATGAGATATTTTTAACTTACCAATCAGATAGGTGGCTGGATCAAAGCCATCCTTGGGATCGGGACTGTCCTGCGTGGGTATTAGCCAGGTGAGAAAGGCGGACTTCTCGCAGTAGGCGTCGACAAGCAGGCCACGGATCTGGGCATAAAACAGGCTCTGTTCGCTGTCCACAATGCTGACAATGTCACCGATCTGGATGTAGCTGTCCTTGTGGAAGACGCTTTGCACGAAACGTGTGCACGCCTGCATCCTAGGTGTCTTTTGGGCAGGCCGCTTGAACAGTGTGCGGCGATTCTTGGCATTGGATGCGCTGCCACCACTGGCCCCGCCACCACCCACTCCACGCTCCGATTTACCATGCCCTTTGCCTTGAGCAGTGGCAAGAGCGGCGCCACTTTGTGCGGCAACGCCGGCTGCGGCGGCAACGGCGCCTGTGGCAGCAGTCTGTCCCAAATTGTGGCCATTTATGGCACTGGTTGCCAGCTTGGCAGCCTTGAAGCGTGTGCTGCGCGTGCTTTTTCGCAGGCGCTTCATGATTGTTGGTGAGCGGGTGCCGTTCAAGCTGCTGCGTGTAATCTTGCCGCCGCCTCGTTGCGCAATGGCTGCCGACGATGTAGGCACCGGCGGCGGCGGCGGTGGTGGTGGTGGCGGCGTAGGAGCAGCAGCTGACACTGAACGTGACGCCATTTTGGATGCAAGACGCTCAACGTTTGCTGTCGTCTCGACGGAACTGCAGGGCGTTTCTACTTCTATGCGTTGCTGCGACTGCTCCACTTTGTGCTGCTCCGGCTGCTCCTCCTCCAGCTGCTGCTCCTCCTCCAGATGCTGCTCCTCCTCCAGCAGTAGCAACAGCCCATTGCCATTTGTTGTTGGCTTGTCGCCGTCATCGTCGTCGAGCTCATCGAGCGTCTCCGTGGTGGTCAACGACGCAATCATTTGCATTTTGAGCAAGTCGGAGGCTTGCTCAGCTTTCGCTTTCGCCTCTGCAAATTTTGCAATCGCTTCCGGCTGCTTCTTGGCTTTGGGGGCAAGGCAATCTGTACAGAAATAGCCAGCATCGCCCGAATCTGTTGTTGTCGTCGTCTCGTTCTGGCAATTGCTGCACTGTGTGGCCATCGCTGGGATTGTGGGGCCAGCGGTTGTGTTCGACATTCTTTTGCTCGATTTATATGTGGTTATATACACACAAATATATACCACGGCTTCGGATGTTTCTATGAATATTTTTGTTTATTTAAATAGTATATTTGGTTACTGTTGTGCAAATGCCACTGTTATGCTCAACTTAACTGTTACGGCTCAATTGAGCTGTTAGCGGCAACAGCCAATGCTTATGTTTATCATCGTATAACAGTGCCATTCTGAGTTCACTTCTATTTGTTGTGTGAAAATGTGACGTATGTGCTTAACTTGGATTGAATTAACAAAGAAAAATGACAATTTTAATATGTTTGATGATAGCATGTTGTTTGCCTTTGCCTTTCTACCGTGTGAGTGTCGCGAGCATCAATGAGCTATGTTAACGCAATTCGAGCCACTTGAAGTTGCCAACAGCATGTGTTGCGAGCATCGATAAGTCAACACATATCATCGCGCCCAACGGTTTGTTATCGAGCAAGAGAATCCCCACTGACCATTGTAAATTCTGTTTTATAGCTGGCAGGTCGTGTGCGCAGAATCGGTCGGTTTAATTTGAACATTTTTTTTAAGTGCGCGCGTGCCACGATTTACTATTGCACGCAACACACGCACACACACATACATACCCAGTCACAAAACAAATACAAATAATTGATTCTTTGAATTTTTTTTTGCAAGTGCGCGTTCTGGTAATAAAGAGTTAAATATATATTTAAATATGTATGAATATGTGAGAGAGACAAGAACAAAATGCATGAGATGTAGTTGAATTCTGTTAATGTGTGTGACGAAGTGACGTAGAAAGAGGAAGAGAAAACGGTACGCTTGAAAAGTAAGCAGAGCTCAAAACACAAACACACGCACACAACTACAACACAAATACCAATACATATACAAATACAAAGAAAGCATATAAAGTACAAACGTGGACAACGTCGACAATAATAACAGTGAATAACAACAGAAACGAGGGAGCAGCAAACAACAACAGCAACTACAATAACAAAAACTACACCAACAACAACACATCGAGTGAGTGATGAATATGCATACATACAAACACACACACATACATATGCAACAGGTACGAATGTGATTTGTTATCGATTCCCGATAGCTGAGATCATTGCCAAAATACATTAAAAAAATCAGAGTCGTCCAATAAGAAGCCGAAGATGCGAAAGTATTCCATGTGGAATGTGCTTGGAATAGTTTGGAAATTTGCATTTATCCGCTTCGCCGGCAAAAAGAGACAAATTAAAGAGAGGGGAATGAGAGAGAGAGAGAGAGAGAGAGCTAGAGGTAAATTGCATGCAGTAGCTGCAGATTAAGTCACATCCAATAAGTATTTGAGTCTCTTTGTGCATTGGAATGTGCTCATTATTTATTTTTGCTATTCTACTCACAGATTAACAAACAAAATGAGCTCATAAAGACAGAGGTAGTCTTATGAGAATGTTGTTCCAACAAGATTTTTGTACTATTTATTGTATTTCAAATGATCTACCACCATCTCTTCATGGATTTTTCTTTTTAAGATTTTACTATATTCAAAAGTAATCATAAAATAAAAAAGAAAAACAATCACAATTGAGATTTACATCCATAATTTGTTATTAAATGTTTTATTTGCATAATATTTTAATACATATCTAGATCTAAAAATCCAAGGATTTGTTTCTACTTTTTCTTCTCCTTATACTTCTTCTGCACCTGTTATCAATTTTCAATTCGATTCTAACATCTATGTAATTCCAGGTATATTTTTTTTTTGATTCGTTTTGTGGTTATTCTTGTTGCATTTGCATTTGGTGACTCTTGTCTCACGGTTCTTGCCTGGAATATGCTGATTGGACTGGGATCGATTTCAGTTTATTGTGTTAACGGTGTTTTGCTTTTTTTGTGCCCCGCCCCCAGCTGGTTACCTAACGGTCAGTGCCACAAGCTGAACACAGTTAGGGAAGAAGAAGAAGAAGGGAACAAGGAGGAGCCGGGGAAGGGGTAGGGGGGGAAGGGGGGTGTGACGAGACCGAAATGAGAATTGCACTCGGCTTTATTCGCTTTATTCGCAATTATTCGCTCTTTATTCTCAAACTCAACTGAATTCGATTCGATTCGCCTGGCAATTGAACAACAACTGCTGGGATAGGGGGTGTATGGAGAGTGACGTGGATAACGGGTGGGGGGGGGGGGGGGGGATGTGTTTGTAAGGTTGTTGTTTCGTTTTGGCAAATCATTGCGAGAACGATTGGCCTCCAACGGTAAAACGAAGAGCTGAACAAACAGTTAAGCGTGCAGAAATATGTATTACAAAAAAGCAATGCGAAAATGGCAATCAAAAGCAACAACAATAACAAAAAAGTAGCTAAAGTAGCTGAACAAAAAAAAAAAAAATTGGTCGAACACAAAAAAAAAAAAACTGGTTCCGGCTGCCAAAGAATTCCGCATTGGCTTCGACGAACTCTCAACTATTTCTCTCTCGCTCACTCTCGCTCGCTCTCTCTCTTTCGTTGTTTGTGTGGTGTGTGCCACTTCCGAATAGTATACGACAATCAGTTGTCTCTCTCTCTCTCTATCTCTCTCAACATTCTTAGTTCACGTTCGTTGCCTAAGTCTTTTGTTGCGTTTTCTTCGTTCCTTCGTCTGTGCTTCGGCTTTTGCCGTTTCGCGCTGTTCGCTTGCTGATTCAGCAGCAGCAGAGAAGTGGAAGGTGCAGTGGAGTCTTGGATAGAATTGAGCAGAGTCAACAACAACAAACAACAACAGCATCAAATGCACAAAACAAAGAGAAGCACACAAGCTGAGAGTGCCACACACACACACACACACACAAATACGCACGCACAGACAGTGCATGGTGTATGTAAATGTGACAATGATGTTAATTGGCTTTTACTTTATTCAAACAAAATACTTAGTCACAGCGGATACAACAACAACAACAATAACAACATCAGCAGAAAACATATACATCAAACCATCAGAGTGAAATTTAATCTGCATAGGAATTGAATCGTTTCTCTCCAGTCAAACAAATTTGATGTTTTCTTTTAAAACGATAAAAACAATGGGGTTATTGAATAGATGATGGATAGCGATAACGATAACCTGCGTTATCGATTAGCAAAAAGTGATTAATATGAAATCGATAACGGTTAAATAATACAAAGAATACAAAAACTAAGGCTAAAATGTTTTAAGTAACATTGATGTATTATCGATAACTTCTCGATAGATTTAGATAACACGGCGAGCTCAAAACTTTAGGGAATAAAAAGAAGATGAATGCATATTGCACACATATTTACCCCCATAGGCAATAAGTTGTATTCGTGCCGCATAATTTTGCCGACATTGCAGCTGCTTTTGTGTGGGGGCGCCTCTCAATGCGCCTCCCTTTGCAATTCAATCGCCGTCTGTCCGTGCAGTCTTTGCTGTCTGTTTTAGGTGCGGCGCCCAGCAAACAACAACCTACAACAACAACTTGTTGAATGCTTGGCGAAACAAATCAAGCGGCGCACCCCAGACAGATAACAACAACTACAACAACAACAACAGCGAATAGCAACACGAATGCTTTTTAGAATAATTTAATGACAGCAACAGCGGCAGCAGCAGCAGCAACAACAACAACTTGCCACACCAACTTACAGCAACTAACTACAAAACAACGGCAGATGTCGTCTCGCACTTTCAATTGTCTTTTGCATGCAATGAAAAAAACTTCTTTTTTTTTCATTTATTTATTTTTTTTAGTTGCTGTTGGAAATTTCCCTTTTTGTTTTCAGTGCGAGAGTTGTGTGTGTTTGTGTGTGTGATCGATGAGCAGCAGAAACAGTGGCAAAGGTTTATTGGCCTTTTGTCTGTGTGTGTGCGTGTATGTGTGTCGCCTTTTAAGCCAAGTTTGTTAGCTGGTTGAGCATTTGGCTTGGACCTAGTCTTAGTGAAATCGACTTTGGCTTCTTGCTAAATATTTCTTCTTTCCACACAGACACGCATGAAATTTTCTATTTGTACGAGTACAACACGGGGTGCATGGCGGAGGCAGAGTGAGAGACAGAGGGAGGGGAGAGGGGTATTTTTGTAGGGGCAAACCATTAACGCGGCTTACTTTATGTACAAATATTATTTGCGGCTACTCACTGCTGTCTGCTTGACCAAAGCCACAGCCACAGCTAAAGCCGATGCCGATGCTGAAGTCGAAGCCGCAGCATTTGGCCAATAAGTCAAACTGTCTGTCACCTTGCCACAAAACTAAAAAGAGAGAAAGAAGCAGCAGCACAAGATGAAGAAGATGAAGATGAAGAAGCAGAGTAGAGACTCTTTTATAGAGATGCCAAAGCAGGAGTCGAAGCACCAACACTAACACAATATGTACTTGCCACATTCGAATACACATTCATTAAATGTAGTTTGAAACCGTTATAAAGTTTGGTTCAACTCTGATGTTCGAAAGCAAAAAACGAGAAACAAGTTTTTCATAATCGATCGATCGGAGCGATTATAAATGATTTTAAATAGTGTCACCAGCCAATTCAGACATCGACTCTCGAGAGAAGAAATCTAAACAAGAAAATTCAAGAAAAAAGCTCTGCAAAAAAAACTATTTCACATCTAAGTCCGTTTAGCAGAAAAAGAAATGATAGTCAAATAATTGGTGTCTTAAAGTCAGCTCAAGCTGAACTCTGGATACAGATATGATTATAGAGAGTCGTGTTTTCATAGCATCAAAATCGTAATTTGTCTTTAAACAAACAAATTGATGAAATATATAGTTATTTAAGATTTTTAAGCTTTTCAAGAAATATTAATTAAGGAGTTAAAAATTGATGTAAAACTCACAAACATTTTGAGAAGACTTTCTGAGTAAAAGCATCTAACCGGTAGAAGAGAGTATTGCAGGTCTCATTATTTGTTGAATTACTTCACGTTTAAAATCACAATCAAAAAACTGAAAATCGAATTACCTACAAACTACAAAAAAAAGATGTTTTGTTTGTTGTTTTTTTTTGGTTTTTATGTTTGGCTTGAATGGATTTGAAATTTCTCAATGCTTAAGCGAATTTCAATCAGTTGAAACTAAATGAAATGAAATCGCAATCGTTGCGCTTCGCGTATTCCAAACGGGAGAAATGCAACGGTGCGTCGTGTTAAATGTTAAACATCAGTTGGCTTCAACTAACAATAACAACAACAACAATAACAATAACAGCATGAACAACAACAAAACGCAAGTTGAAAGTAAAATTAACAATAAATTAAATTGAAGTTCGTCAAACTGACTCAATTAAAGCTACTATCGAAATTGATATCGAAGACCAAATCAAAATTGTTTGTGTATGTGCGTGGTTGTGTGTGTGTTTGTGTGTGTTAAATGAAATAATTAAGCGGCGCATTTTTGTGCGTGCCATGAAAATGGAAATGGATTGGCAAACTCAGATCTGTGGATCTCTGGTCTTGCCAAGAGTTTCACTTGGCGTGTTGGTGGCTGCGCCCGCTCTCTGTGTGTGTGTAAGTGTGTGCGTAGGTTACAATGCCATGTTGCCACATGTTGCATGTCAGCTGCGGATCACTGAATCATCTCCGATTGTCAAATTTTGCGTTTAGCGAGATGCCTTAGGCAAAGGGAAAATTCGATTACTTAAAATCACATCTTTATCCGAAGCCTCCTTCTTTATTTTTGTAAATTCCTGTTTTTATCATAATAAGACTGAAATACAAACACGAGTATTTCCAAAAATAATAGTTTCTTAAATCGCTTTTCCGCTGTCGGTCTCCTGCAGGAGATTCCCCTCGCTGTCTCATCTCGGAATGCGACCTCAGAGCTGCCAATGGCCAACGGACAGCTGACACAACTGGCTGCGATTTCAGCTATGCCAAGAATCTGGCACAAAAATCGATTTAACAACTTTTTGTTGTCGAAAACTAGAAACTTGCTCTCTCACATACACACATACACACACACACACACACACACACACACACACACACGCACACACACCTGTGGCATTTATAACGTGAATATTTGTGCAGGTGCGGGCTTGGTTTTTGTCTCTCGGCTTGTCTCATAAAACACAGATTTATGACACACCGCACAACAACAACAACAACAACAGCAGCAGCATCACACAGCGATAATAAATACTAGCAAGCTGGTAGAAATCGAAAAGCAGCTACGAAATTGTTGAGGGCATTTTTAGCGCATTTGGTCATGGGAAAAGCGACAGATTCCCAAACAAAAACACACAAACACCGTATAAAATGCATCTGAAAAATTCGAAAAAAAATAAATAATAATCAACTCGAACGAAAGACTCAGGCAACGAACTTGAATGCGGAGCAAACAATACAAAAGACTTGGACAACGAACTTCACTTTTCGGGCATACCATAATTTCAGTTCACAGATGGGTTGCAAGAGGGATAAAGAGGGAGGATGGAAGGGAAGATAAGGGGAAACCTTGAAACCCTCAGCAGAAGTCTCTGCCATGTCATACGGTTAGTCGGAGTACAATCAAAAACCACGCCCTCATTTACATTTTTAGTTTAAATGTGAATTACAAATTAGAATGAAAGCTAACACAATGCGGGGTTTTGATAGCTGATAATAGATAATAAATATTGTGAATGCTACACATAGACGGAGATCAGTTCAGAACAGTGCTACATGCGAAGTCCACTATTCATCGATTATGTAAGTCTAAACAGACTTGAAAATAAACACTTCAATTTAGATCTTTACTCTACAGACTATAACATCAATTGAATTCAATTTAGTAACTGATTGCCTAATTATATTTATCTATAAATAATTGATCATATAAGAGCACAATTTTTGTCTAACGAGATTTTTCAATGTCTTAACATTCGTTTTGTTTTATACCCTGGCAGCGGATACAATGATTTCGTCATGAAGGAGACGTCGTCGCTTCACACTTCTATAGCATATAGCTTTGTTAGGAACAATCGGTCATCATGTTAGGAATACTGCCATCTCCATGGCACTCCTGTCTTCAAGGGTATTTAATCTCCGGCGTGCCTAGGATAGCGGTTATTTCTCGTTTTTTGTTTTAAATTGTTTATTTTGTTTATTATTATTTTTTTATTTTTATCTTCACGTTTGTTTTGCAATGTTGCATAGCTGCTGCTCGATGCTCATTGATTGCACATGAGAGCTTCGATTAAATTGACTTCTGTCTAGCTGTTGTGGTTGTTGTTTTTGCTGGGACAGCATAGACATGGACATTAACAGCGGCTGCAGGCAGAGGCCGAAACAGCGGCAGCGGCAGCGGCAGAGGCAGAGGCAGAGGCAGTGGCAGTGGCAGAGTCAGCGACGTCTTAACATTGGAATGCGGTCGAACTCGACTCGTTGCCAAGCCAACATTTATTATTTGTCGTAGCCAAAAGAGCGACAAGCGAGAGACAGAGGGAGAGAGAGAGATAGAGAGAGCGAGTTGGAGAGACTGACTTACTGACTGACTGGTTGAATGAATGAATGAATGAATGAGTGGCAGCTGCCACTTTAAGCACTGGGCACATCGCAGCTAGTACTTTTGGATCGCGTTTCGTGTATCTTGTTAAGCGCGCCGCGCTAAACGAGTTCTCCCTCTCTCCCTCCCACTGTCTCTCTGGCTGTTTATTGACTTTGTCAATTTGTAGGCACTTGCCAAAACCAAAAACAAAAGCAAAACCAAATCCGATCCAAATCCGAAACGCAAGCCAAACCTAAAACCAAAACCAAACCCAATTCCAAAACCAAAATTCCAATTCAGTTTGAGTTCGCGCATTTCTTTGGCACATGCATTAAATGACGAGGTAGTACAACAACAGCAACAACAACAACAATAAACAAAAAATGCTTTGTGTGTTGTTGGACTAGCTCGTCATTTTTTCATTTCGGTTTTTTTTTGGGCATAAATATTTATGTTAAAGGCTTTTGCCGCTAAACAGGTGAAAGTTTGTCTCACCAATGGTAACCAGCCGCTGAGCAACAACAACGACAATAACAACATCTTGGACAACAGCATAAAAGTATGTCTCGCTTTTGGCCATGGCTGCTTAATATTCTTGGCCAGCAGTTTTTTTTTTTTGGCCGGCCGCATTTTATATTTATGCTTATGATATTGATTCAAACATTTTATTTTTTTTAACAAAAATATCAAATTAAATTGAAATTTGTTTGTATTCTTGACGATTTTTTGTTTAATTTAATTTTAATTAATTCTTGTTGTTGGGATTATGTTTTTGCATCTGGGCCAAATGGCCAAAATGTTCAGTTTGCTCAGTTGGCAATTTTAGAGATTCTGCAAGCGAATTGAAGGTGAAAGCGAGTTCTTAAATTGGAATCTTTGTTGAAAGTTACACACATTATATACATATATATATATATATATATGTCTGTGTGTGTGCGTATGTGGGCTTTGTTCTTTTCCCTTTTTTATTGGACTACTTGAAATACATTTTTGTAGTAGTTAAATATCATAAATTAGAAATGTATTTACTTTTCCACAAACAATATAATAAATTCTCAACAACATAAGTTGATATCAATAACTTTTAATCGTTTCAGAAATGGGGATATACGTGTATGATCCATTCATAAGAACATCTTAAATATAGAATAAAACCAAAAGTGTTTAGTCGTATTTCAATGCAAAACTTTTAATTAACAGTTACGTTTATGTCATTAAAGATTTAAGCAAGATGTCATTCAAATGTTCATTTTATACTGGGTTAGAAATGTATCCTTCTACTATTCAATGAATTGACACATTTCCTGTAGCAGCAATAGGCATATATTGACGGTATATATGTTCAGGCTGGATATCTGCATGTCTACGAGTATATCGCAATTCCGTTTCAACTTTTGAACAATTGTTTCCAATATTGTCTCAAGCATTTACCAGCTTCGTCGCTGCCTTTGGTTTTGCATTGCGTTTTCAGTTTCAAATGAAGTTAAAAAGTTACAAAAAAAATTCCCAATTACAAATACAAATAATAATAAGAAATAATTGTAGGATTGAAAGCAAAATCCAACCAAAACCAAAAAAAAAAAAAATAAAAATAAAAATAAACTTACTTTCATTCATTGAGCGCTTGCAGTGCTTGGCCTTTGTTCCCCACATGACGCCCCCCGCGTCTGCCTCTTCTGTAAGCTGTTTTCTTCTTCGTCATAGCCAGCGTGAGCTGCTCATCTGGGCGACAATGATAATCACTTGTGAAGGGGAATAGGAGCAGGGAGAGAGGAGAAGGCAGCGAGGCCTTCGATAAGCATTTGCGGCATGTTGTTTTTATCGGTTTTTTTTTTTTGTTTTGGTTTGCTGCCCTTTTTTTTAATTAAATATGCCAAAGGCAACAACATTTTATAGAGAGACGAAATAATTACGTTCAGCTTTCATGGTGTAATGTTTGTTTAAGTCTACCCTTGCAGTGGGTATATAAATTTAAGCATCGAGTGTCTAAGAAGACACCTTCGACCCGACAAACTATATACACAATTATGTAAACTAGATCAGTCTTCTGCTTATCTAAACTGATCTTCTAGTTGTTAAGCTGCATATAAGTCGAAGAGTGTTGGATCGTATCAATATATCATATAATTTATTTTAAAAGTTTCAAATACAAATAAGAATAAATAAAACACGGGGTTTAAAATCAAAGTAAATAGCTCACTCAACATTTAAAATATAAAATCAATATATATATATATATATATATATATATATATATATATATATATATATATATATTTATGTAGCCTCGACAAATGATGTCTCTATGCTACTCATCAAATATGATACGCAAGAGTATCTAATTTTCGGCGTGCTCATTTCTGATTTTGTTTGGTTTGGTATTCAATTATTTTTTATTGTGGTATTATTTTATAGTGGTATTCAATTGTAACTATTTTCTTGGGAAATATTTTCGAAGATTAAACTAATCAAATGTTTGTTTTTCTTGTTTTTTTTTATTATTATTTACTTACAGCAATGCATCAGCCAGCTGCTTGAAGCACCGACCCAGTCCAGTCCACTCCACTTCACATTACTTCCCTATCCTCGACGAGGAGCGACGTGCGGCGATTGGATATAAATAATAATAATAATTGCAAATAATTCGTTTGGAAAAGTTGAAGTTGATCAATTGATTACACTCACACATACAAACATAAACACAAACACACACACACATATACAGATCGATTCAGTCATAGGACCATGGACTGGGCTGAAGGGGATCTGGTGTGGTTTGATCCGGGCGTGGGTCATCCCATTCCCGGTGAAATTCAGGAAGTACATCGCGCCGCCCAAGTGATTGTCGTCCAGGCCATGATAAAGGGCAAGGTGAGTACAAACTTGTGTTACCCAGTATAGAAGGGCATTAAAATTCAGTTTAGCACTTGAAACCAAGTGTAAAGCACAACTTCGGTGTGCCAAAGATACTAATAGCTCTTCTTTCTTTCTTTTATTTTTCATTTTTCATTTTATTTTTATTTTTTTGTGGACCCAAGGGCCGCGTTAGCTTTTACAAATTTTATGAATGCTTTTCACTATTTTCACCTGTCAAATGCTAAAAAAAGAAGAAAAAATACAAATGACAATGCGAATTGTTTTTGTTTTCGGCACTTGGTATTCATGACATGAAACTAGCCAATAGCCACTAGCTAAAAAGCTAAAAAGCCACTTGCCAATTTCTGTAGCGTGCTGCAACGGAAGTATTTGTATGCAACGCGTAAGTTGCACCAATCTGCTGAGCTTCGGCCGTCTCCAGTTTTGCAGTTTACAGTCTCCCGTCTAATTGCAGAGTGCCGGCAGCGACTTCTCCGACTCTGGCTCCGTTTCCTTTTTCCTTTGCAATTAAGCCTGCCACTCCACAACAACAACAACAACGACGACGACAACAACAGCAACAATATCACTCAGTCAGTTCGTCAGCCCAGAGGCGAGTGGTGCGGCTAAGGCTAATAACGGGTAACAGTTAGTGATGCCGTTGCAGTTGCAGTTGTTGCTCCCTAGGCGCCTGTTCAGAAATCAAGAATAAAAATCCCCAAACTCGTTACACACACGCACACACACATGCAAACATGCAAACATACACATATGTGGAGTTGCTGCAACAAGTATTCCATAGCGTATCCTGTTCAGAGATATGCCAATTTATGCGTCGCGTCTGACAACTTGTCTGTTGGCCAGTTAGCCAGCAGCATCAGCACCAGCAGCAGCACAAGCAGCCGTTGTTTCTGGTTCTAGCATTGGGTTTGGTTTTCGTTGCTGTGAAGAACTCCACTTCTCCACTTCAAATGCAATAATATTGCAGTTCTGCGAAAAAGCTAAGGTCGAGATTAATTGAGCTCACTCTTAATGCAATTAAGTTCGCATTAAGTTCAAATTACGTAAGCGTAACTGATACGGCTTGGTTGCTGTATGAATCCGATTTATGAAATTGTTGTTGAGTTAAATATCAGTGTAAAGTAAAATAAATAAATCGAAATCTAAGCTGTGCAATTCGAGAGTAGATTGTTTGTTGTGAATACGTACCTCCTATCTATGCTCGTTCTTTTGTATTGATAACTAAATTAAATCGATTATTTAATCGATTATTCGATTAACACAATTCACTCCCGATATTTATATATATATAATATAAATATCGGGAGTGAATGGTGTTAATATGAAATGTAGGATTTTTTAAATCGATAATTAAATCGATTATTCGATTAACTCTCGAATTCACTCTCGATGGGCTTAAGCCACATGCCTCACACATTATTGCAATGCATTTAATGGCCAAGAATCAAAGACTTGAACTGATTCTTCTTTGGCATGGAGAAAGTGGCACTCTCTCGCAACAGATAAAAAACCAGAGAGAGAGAGAGAGAGAGAAAGAGAAAGAGAGATTGTTTTCTTCTCTTAATTGAATCAAGATCACAAAGATCGTGCAACTCGAGATCAAAGCCATTGACATGCGACAGGTTTTTGTTGCACATGTGTTCTTTACCCGTTACCCGTTACCCGTTACTCATTCTTCTCTCGCTGCCCAAAACAAGCTGCACGTCTGCAAGGCAGCCAGTCAGCCAGCCACTTGGCTAGGAGGAGTGTCATCTTTGTTGCCCCAAACAAACCCGCTAGATACAATAATAGACAAACAAAAAATAGTATACATATATATATATATATACTTATAAAGAAACGTGTTTTTTTATCGATCGCTTTAGAAGTGTTTAGAAGGTGGCAAGGGGAAGGGGTATGGGAATGGGGTATGGGGAAAACTGTGGAAAACTGTCTCGGCTACTGGCCCAACTCCGCTTGACTCCTTTCAGTTGCATTCGAGACGGCGGCCAACAACGTTTCTCCCGCCAATATTATCGGTGTTGGATGTTGTTGTTGTTGTTGTGTGTTTTTTTTTCTGTTAATGTCCGGTTTGAGCGTTCGGTTCTTTGGTTGGTTTCGGGCTGTACCGTTAGATGCGCATCGTACGCTTCCATCTGGAGCCGTGGCAGCGAGGCAGTGGCTGCGGCTCAGTTACACCAAGTCCGGCCCAATCGCCATCCCTGGCGCTGCTCTCGCCGCACGTGCTGCGCCGCCAGCGACCAGCCAGCCTCGAGGAACTGGACGAGCTGTTTGCTCAGCAAACACCACAGCAGCAGCAGCAACAGTTGCTGCGCCGCCAGCGTCGCCTCAAGTGCCGCTATCCCCAGGTGGTCAAGCGCCTATCAACCCTCTGCAGCGATGTGATGGCCCGCCATGTGAGCTTCATAATCAATAACCAATTAGGCCAATTAAGCGACAAACTCTTGAATCGATTTAAAACATATCGTTAAACAATTTAATCGATTGTCGTCTATCGATTATGTCTGATATATATTATTCAAGCTTTGCTTAGCAGATATCAATAATGGTTTATCGCTTTTCTGTTATCCGATTCGATTGCGGATCTCAATAGATAAGTGAATCAGATGTCCTCAATCAATCAAACAGTCGAGTTGCACTTGGCGCCTTGTAGCGGCGCCTGTTTCTTTACCTGGCTCTTATTTTTTGTGTTGGCTTCTTAGCTCATTTAGAACTCGGGATTAGAAATAGCAATTGACTAGTTGTGAACGCTACTTGAAGTAAAGAAAAGAATAAAAATCTAATCAAATCTCTTTATACGACAGGCACAAACGTTTGCCCTGCAGCCGGGTGAGGGTAGCCTGCGAGCGCGTCAGGATCTGGGCAGCAGTGGCGTGGAGGACATGACTCTATTGGATGACCTCCACGAGGCATCGCTGCTGTGGAATCTGCGACTGCGCTACGATAAGGGACTGATCTACACGTTCGCTGGCAGCATTCTGATCGCCGTCAATCCCTACAAGATGTTCCCCGACGCCTACGGCCTGGAGGTGGCCAAGCAGTATGCTGGTCGACCACTGGGCGCATTGCCACCACATCTGTTTGCAATTGGAGCGGCGGCACATGCGGCACTCCCCTCGCCCCAAGTGGTGGTCATATCGGGCGAGTCTGGGTCGGGCAAGACGGAGTCCACCAAACTGGTCATGCAGTATCTGGCGGCGGTGGTCCCCGGTGGCGGCAGCGCCTCGGCCGTCATCACAGAACAGATACTCGAGGCGGCCCCACTGCTGGAGGCGTTCGGCAATGCGAGAACCGCACGCAACGACAACAGTTCGCGTTTTGGCAAATATCTGGAGGTCTATTTCAAGAGTGGCGCCATTGTCGGTGCCAAGATCACACAATATCTGCTGGAGAAGTCACGCATTGTCACCCAGGCGCCCGGCGAGCGTAACTACCATGTCTTCTACGAGATGCTCGGCGGCCTCAGCGAGACCGAACGTGCCAAATACGGTCTGCTCGAGGCGGACAAATATTTCTATCTGAATCAGGGTGCCACCGACTGTGCCAGCGGTCGTGTCGATTGGGCCTCCCTGCTCAGCGCGATGCAGGTGCTCGGCGTCACCGAAGGCGAACGCGAGGGCATTGTACGAGTGCTGGCCGCTGTGCTGCATTTGGGCAACGTGTACTTCCATCGACGGCAGCTGCGACATGGCCAGGAGGGTGTCGAAATTGGTTCCGATGCGGAAATCAAATGGGCCGCCCATCTGCTGCATATTAGCGCCGAGGGCATGCATCGTGCCCTGACCAGCCGAACAACAGAGGCGCGGGCAGAGCGTCTGCACACTCCGTTGGGCATTGACCAGGCACTGGATGCGAGGGATGCCTTTGCCAAGGCACTCTATGCGGGCCTCTTCAACTGGCTGGTGTCGCGCATCAATTCGATTGTGCAAAAGGGCGGCACCCACGATGCCCATCGCATCAGTATACTGGACATTTTTGGATTTGAGGATCTTGCGGAGAATAGTTTCGAGCAGCTGTGCATCAACTATGCCAACGAGAATCTTCAGCTCTATTTCAATAAGCATGTCTTCAAACTGGAACAGGCGGAATACGCTCGCGAGCGTCTCGAGTGGACACCACTCGCCTGGGACGATAATCTGCCGGTCATTCATTTGCTGGCCAAGAAGCCCGTTGGCATTTGCCATTTGCTCGACGATGAGTCAAATTTTCCGCGCGCTACCGATTTGAGTTTCTTGGAGAAATGCCACTACAATCATGCCTTGAGTGAGCTATATGCCCGTCCCAGAATTGGTGCCCAGGAGTTTGGAGTTACTCACTATGCGGGCCAGGTGTGGTACTGTGTCGACGGTTTTCTCGACAAGAATCGCGATGCATTGCGCGGCGATGTTCTCGAACTGCTGGCCACCAGTCGCCTGCCTTTGGTCAGTGAGCTGACCAAACAGTTGCGCGCCCAGCGAGACGCTGGCAAAACTCTGCCCAAGGGCAGCAACGGACGCTTTGTCACAATGAAGCCACGCACACCAACGGTGGCTGCTCGCTTTGCCGACTCACTGCAGCAACTGTTGCAATCGATGGGCCGTTGCCATCCGTGGTTCGTGCGCTGCATCAAGCCCAACCAGGAGAAGCAACCGTTGCGCATGGATATGCCATGTGTGCTGCAGCAGCTGCGCTATCTGGGCATGCTCGATACCATACAGATTAGGCAGCGTGGCTATCCGGTCCGTTTGCGTTTCCAGCACTTTGTCGAGCGCTATCGCCACCTGTTGAGCTCACCGCTCGCCCGGGGCACACCGTATCGTGAGCTGTGCCGCCTGCTGCTCGAGGCGATGCCACGCACCGGTGTCGAGGGTCCCGACTATCAGCTGGGCGCAACGCGTGTCTTTCTCCGCGAGGCCCTCCATCGGGCACTGGAGAGCGGACGCACGGAGCGATTACGTCAGGCGGCCGTTCACATTCAGCGACATGTGCGCGGCATGCTCGTGCGGCGTCAGCTGACCCGTCGCCAGGCGGCTGCCACCCGGCTGCAGGCGCGTTGGCGTGGCCAACGTCAGCAGCAGCGATTTGAGCAGCTGCGTCATGGCGCACGCACCGCGCAGCGGTTGTGGCGCGGCAAGCAAGCGCGTCGACGCGTCCAGCAGTTGCGCTCCGACCATCGGCGCCGGCAGGAGGCACGGGAGGCGGCGCAGCGGGCGCGTGAGGCACGCGAGGCCAAACAGGCGGTGCTGGAGCGCAGCCAGCTGAGCTATCTGGATATACCCGCCGAGCTGGCCTTCATCTATTCGAAGCTGCAGGGCTGGACGCCGCCGCACAATGATCGACATCTGGTCAAGGTGCTGGGCACAGTGCCGGGCCCGCCAGCAGCTGGTGCTCAACTGCCGCCGGACCTGGCACAGTTTAGTTTTGGAAAATTCAGCAGCGTTTACTGCAACGGGTTGCGGCTGCAACCACGTCGTGAGCCGATTACGGCACCGCTGTTAACGCGTGCTGCGTCCCGGGATCAGGACTTTCAGGATGCGCTCGCCGTGTTCAAGCTGATATTGCGCTGGAGCAACGACAAGGCGCTGGAGGGCGAGGGCGCCAAGGAGAAACTGCTGTCCGACTATATTGTGCACAAGGCGCTCAGCTCGCGGGGCCTGCGCGACGAGATACTCGTTCAGCTCTGCAATCAGCTGCACGGCGCCGAGCCCCAAATGGCCGCCCGTCTCTGGCAGCTGTTGGGCCAGTGCCTGTGCTGTTTCCAGCCGAGCGCCGCCTTTAGCAAGTATCTGCTGAAGTTTGTCAGCGATGAGGCGCCGCCATCGCCCACGCGACAGCTGCTCCAGCGCCAGCTGTTGCGTCAGCAGACAAATTCACCGGGTGGCAATGGTGCCGGCGCCTGTCGCAGCTTTGTGCCGGCTTGGATCGAGTGGCGCGCCTGGTCGCGTGGCTGCGACATGGCACTGCCTCTGACGTTGCCGGATGAGGCCAGCCAAACGGTTGCTGTCGACTCGTGGACCAGTTGCGAGGAGGCTGCCGCTTTGGCTGTTTCCACATTGGGTGTGGCCAGTCGCGGCTGGACACTGGTGCTCGACGATGGCCAACAGCTGACGGATAGCTGTGGCTTGGACTATGTCATGGATCTGATTGCCGAGAAGGAGCTGTGTCCAGCGTTTCCCGCGCCACGCAGCGATCTGTTGCGTTCGGGCGCTAAGTTTACGCGTACCAATCTGCCGGAGGCCGTCAAACGACCGGGTGTGCCGCCACCGGCACCACCCATTGGTGCTGCAGCAGCTGGTGCATCTAACAAGCAGCAGCGCGAATTGCATGATGATGACCAGGAGGAGTCATCCTCATCCCAATCACAATCGCAACAGCAGCTGCAGCAGCAGCAGCAACAGCAGCAGCAGCCGCAGCGGCGCAGCAGTCGAGAGCTGCTCTCACGTAGCTCGGCACTCAATGAGCGCTATTTTGAGCGGACGAGCGAGGAGCCAATTACGCCACATCTATTGCCTGGGGCACAGTCCAAGTCACGCTCCAAGTCGCTGGATGATCTGCTCGCCGGAGATATGGGCAGCCAACAGTTGCCGCTGCCCGACAGTGATTCGCAGGAGTCACCGCTGCACACGCTCGCATTGGGTCTCTCCGAGAGTCGGCTCAACGAGCGCTACCATTCCGCGGAGCGACTGGCTCCGATGGGCAAAGAGACGGCGCCACGTTATCAGAAATCCCAGCATGCCGGCCGGCGTTCACATGCCGCGTCGCACGGCTCCGCCCATTCGAGCAAGTACAACATGGACAAGTCGGAGTATGCGACCCGATCGTCGGCCATGTCGGACACCAGCGAAGCACCATCTCTCGCTTCCCATGTGCGACGCGTCCGTGTGCCCTCGCAGGCCTCCGATGTCGATCAGTTTCTGGATGATCTGTTCAGTCCCGTGCTCGATGGCTCACTCGATGAGCTCTCCGATGCCCGATCCCTGGCCGCCAGCATTCGTGGCGGCGCTAAAAAGACGACCGATCAATTTATGGAAGATTGTCTGCCAGTGGAGCATGCAGTATGCTCTGCTGCCACACAGGCAACCACAGATGTGCAACAATTTATATTTGACGACGATGATAATCTGGAGCAGTTTATTGGTGACACATTGTTGCCACTGGACGATGCGGTGTCCACGCTCGCTTCCCAGCGACATCTGGTGGAATGCATTAAGGGTGGCGGCAGCACGGAGCACAGCAATGCCGCTGCCGATCCTCTGATGCATCAACTGATGCATCAGTTGCCGGGTGGCGAGCCGGATGCGGCACCAGCCGCTCTCTATCAGCAGCAGGTGCAGCGCGCCTTTCTTCAATCTGCCATGGCGCAGAATCTGCAGATTCAGCAGCAGCTCCTCGCCCAGAATCAGGCGCTCCAAACGCTGCTTAGCCAGCAGGCCACAGGCAACCAGGCTACCAACAACAACAACAACGCCAACAACAGTAACAACAGCAACAACAACAGCAGCAACAACAGTAGCATCAACAACATGAACGGTAGCAACAACAACTCGACAGTGGCACAATTGGGTAGCAGCAGCAAATCACCATCACCATCGTCAGTCGGCCAATCGCCGCTGCGTATGAAGACCACAACCACAATGATGACGACGACGAGGAGCAGCAGTCTGGTGTTGGAGGCAGCCGCTGGGTTACAGCCACCAGCACCACCGCCACCGCCACCGATGCCGCCGCCGCTGGAGAGCAAGGATCCGTCCGAGACGCGACATTTTCTCGATCCTTATGGCCGTGCCAAGACGGTGCGGATCGGCAAGTGGCGCTGGCCGCCGCCACAGGGTGAGCCCCAGTTCCAGACCGAGGAGGATTTCTTTGCCTTCAAGTTGCGCCAGCAACAGCGCAAGACGACGCCCCAGTCGCAGCATAGCGCAAACAATGCCACCGCCATCGAGTGGGAGGAGTTCGAGATTGAGTCGTGCAAGAGTGTGACGCCTCCCGGGATCGGTGTGCCGCTAGCGAGCAGTATGCAGCAGCTAATGCGAAGAAGTATGCGGCTGGATGCCAACGGATCGGGAACAGGTCGAGATCTTCAGGATCTACAGGTGCAATCCAATCAAGCGCCAGCAGCGAATGCGACAACAACCACAACAACAACAACGACAATCACAGCCACAAAGCTGGCGAAGAAGAGCTTCGAGATTGGCGCTGATCGTCCGCCGCCAGGCAGTGTCGGCAAACTGAAGCTCAGCTCGGAGATGCGTCAGCGTTTGGAACAGGTCACCGCCGGGCATTCGGTGCGCTCGACCGTCTCCAACAAATCGGAGCAGCGTGCGCCGGCCAAGCTGGAGGATACGCGCAAACTGATGCTGCAACAGCAGTTGGGCGGCCTCTTTGCCAGCGCCAATAACCAGACGGGCAATGCACCCACCCACGACTCCATGGCGACGGTGCGTACCCAGATCGAACGGATGGAGGGCAAATTGTCACCACCACCGCCGGCACCGCCGAGCGCATGGATGCCGAATGTGCTGCTGCCACCGGCGCCCAGTGTGCCAGCACCACCGCCACCGATACGGCCGCCGAGTATGGCGCCACCAGCACCGCCGCCGGCACCACAGAGCCCGTCGGTGCATCATGGCACCGATGTGGACGAACCGGAGCCGGATTATCGCAAGGAGCATGTGCCGGCGTTTATACAGCGCCAAGAAAGAGATACCTTTGGTGCGGTGCGTCAGCCGCTGCACCACCTGCAGCAACAGCAGCAGCAGCAACACGGCCAGCTGCACCATCAGTCGCTGCAACAGCAATCGATGCAATCGCTGCACCACCACCAGCAGCACAACAACAACCATCACCACCACCACCAGCAGCAGCAGCAGCAACAGCTGCATATGCAGGAGCAGGCCTGGCAGCAAGAGCTGCAAGCGGAACGGGAACGTTCGCGGAGTCGCAGTCGGTCGCGGGATCGCGAGGATTACTCGGAGTCCGTGTGGGATCGGGCCGAGGTCGAGGGCCCCGCCTCCGGCAGCGGCAGTGAGAAGGAGCGCGAGAAGCGCGAACGGGAGCGTGAACGGCTCTACGAGCTGCGGCAGGTGGAGCGCGAGAAGGAGAGTCACAAGGTCTATCAGCCGGCGCCGCCGCGCGTCATTCAGGCCAGCCTCGACACAGCTGGATCCAAGGTCAGTCGGGAGAGGGAGCGTGAGCGCGAGCGCGAACGATCTCGCGACAGGGAGCGGGAACGAGAACGGGAACGAGATCGGGAACGGGAACGGGAACGTGAACGAGATTCATTGGCTGCAACGCCGGCGACATTCCGCACGCATATGGCCCAGAAATATGAGCATGAGCGCAAACGCAAGAGTTCGGCCAGTTCGGCGGGCGTGCGAGAGGATCTGTTGGATGCATCCATGTCGCCGGTGGTGGTGGTGCCAGCGCCAGTGCCGCCGCCACCAGTAACGCCCACATCATCCTCGATGTCGGCATCGTCGGTGGTGGCCGCAACAGCGGCTGCTGTCACTGGCAGCACCAGTTCCGGTGCCGGTGCCAGCGCCTGTCTCACCTACAATCGGGTGCCATGGAAGTTGCGGGTGCGGAAGGAGGTATTCCAGCCGCACGAGCCGATCGGTCCGCCCGTTGCACTCGATCTGCTGTTCGCCCAGGTGCTGAGCGATGTGTTTGGCGTGACGCCCTGTCTCCGCATAACGCCGCAGGAGAAGAATGCCGCTTTGAATATGCTTCACGGACACGGTGTCAGCGTGGACACCTTGGCTGCCCGCAATCAGCAGGTGCGCGCTCTCGTCAAGCGTCATCTGGTCGACATGGCGCGCGACTGGCCGCTGTACTTTGCCCGTCTGTTTGCGGTGCAAGGTGCGCCACTCTATCCGGATGTATCCATTATGGGCGTATCGCACAGCGGCCTCTATTTGGCGCGACGCGATGCCGACTATCTGATTGTGGTGCAGGCCATCTCGTTTGCCGAGATCCAGAATGCCGTTACGCTGCCACGCCCCGCCGCCCTGCAGCTCAATCTGCGCAACGGTAAACATCTGGCACTGCATGCCACTCGCGCAGCCGCCATCCAATCGATGATCACCGGATTTGTCCTCGAGTACCGCAAGGTGAGTCCAAAAACATGGCCTCTTCCTCTCTATATATATATGTATATTTATCTATCTACCTATCTTGCTATATATATATATATATATATATATATATATATATGTCGCTCTTCAATTTACCGTTTGACTTGGTCTTCTCTTTGATTTCCATTCGTTGCCCCTTCCTATTGTTGATGCTCCACTACAGTTAGCTTTATGTTTGTGTTTGTGTGGGCGCAAAAGCTTTTACAAACGGAAAGAGCTTTAAGCTGAGCTTTATTGCATATTTAAGCTCTCAGTTATGCAGTCGTCTGCTCACTGATTTCATTCGAAATTAGTAAGAACTGCATACTGAAGTTGTGCAGACAGAAGTAGGCATCATCTCATCTCCCCATAAAGTATGCATAGTATCCATAGTAGATCAGGATGAGCAGTCGAGAAGATCTAGCTATGCCCGTCTCTATGAGCAGAGACTTTAAGTCTACAAGCTACAGACTTCAAATTTCGAATGTAAGTTCTCGTATACCACCATAACCAGATCAAGTCTATTTCCTTGTAATATCGATAAAAATCTGTTGCCGACAGTAATAAAGGTTGTAATTTTAAAGATACCTTGACATAATATCGGTAATCTGTAAAAGTTGCAAGTTTTCAAGTTGGGAAACGCATTATTTTCGTATTTTCATATTCACAAAATAGCAAAAATTGAAAACTGGATTCCCAACTAGCAAAAAAGATCAAATCCATTGCATTTGTGTTTCATTGGAAGCTTTACTTGTTTTTAGCTATCAAAATCTAATTGATTTACCGAATATTAAATAACTCACGCAGCTGGCAAATAAACAATGGACCCGTGCAAAGCCGGGAAAATGCCGTTTCATTTCTACATACATGTGTATGTAGATGTATTAATGTATGCGTAAGCCTCTTACATACTTGAAGCTAAATGAAGCTTGGTTTTTCTGGTCACCGTGACCGTGACCGTGACCGTGACCGTGACTGTGACTGTGACCGTGACCTTCATAGCGAAGCTCTTGCTAAACATCCTTTTACGAAAAGTTGTCTACCTTTATTTGCTACCCCTTTTCCGTTCCCGTTCCCGATCCCGTTCCCACACCCAACCCCCTTTTCGCATTTTTGCACGCGTGGTTCAAGCTCAGTGGGTCTTAGTTTCAGTTCAGTTCAGTTGCACTTCCAGTTTCAGGCCCACTGACTGCCAGTGTGACCATATACGTGATATGTTATATGTATGTATGTATGTATGTATGTATGTATGTATGTATGTATATATGTGTATAGAAGACACCCAGAGACTGTGATACCCGTTTCTACATTCACATTCACACTCGCATTCACATTCACATTCACAGTCACATTCACATTGATGCGTTGCATTCATTTATCAGTTGAGTTGCGTTTCTTTGAATGCATCTCTTAAGTTATTTTAATGTAATTCAGTTTTATGCGTGAAAACTTGTCCAATGCCAAACTCGGAGCAGGCCGAACCCGAACCTGGAGAGCACCAGACAGCCGAACAAAACAGTTATCTACACACACACACACACACAGAGCGAGAGAGAGAGAGAGAGAGATGAGCTGCAAAGTGCCTAAGCCACTTGGTGGTGCGCTACTCGCTTCGTGTGGTTTCTTCTCTTAAGCTTAACGCTCCGCTTCGCCCTGTTGCAGTTTTCACTAAGCTCTCTCTCTCTCTCTCTCTCTCTCTCTGCTACTTGCGCTCCCTCTCTCTCTCTCTCGCTGTATGTGTGCGTGTGTGTCTGTAGTTCTGCTCGGCTGCGAGTGAAATGGTCAGTCGATTGGCAACAACTCGCCAGTTGCCTCTTTTGACCAGTCTGCCCAGTTTTCAGTTGCCACAAATGTTTGTTAACGGCATCACGCAACGCGCGCGTCTCAACCAAAAATAAAAAATACACAAATAAAATCCGAACAACAATAATCCCAATTCTTTAGCTACAACTTCTGTCTCAATCTCAGCAACAACTTGGACTTTTGTTACTGTTACTATTTTTTTTTTTTTTTTTTTTTTTTTTGGCCAACTTTTTTGTTTGTTTTTGTTGTTTTTTACTTGTGCTGTGCTGTGCCGTGTTTTGTTGTGCGATGAATGAAATGTTTTTGTTTGGCCACCGACTCAAAGATAGCCGTTCTGTGTGTGCTTGACCCATTAATCGATGCCGCCGTTCGATGCCATTTGGAATGCATTTGGAGCACAGCTAAGAATAGTCTGCACCTGCCTCATCGAGCATTTCTTTTGGTATTCTACATATCGAAAATTCTGAGCAAAAAAATGTACAAAAGAAATTACAAATGTAGCTGCATAGTTAAAGCCAAGAAACATACTTAAACGTTTGGAAAAGTGACATAAAAAACATTGAAGTTTCTAGTGTACCCGACTATTATTATATATTACATATTACAGTACATATATATATATATATATATGTACAGTTCCAACTGGATGACTGTTCATGTGTATACTTTATGTATACATATCACTTTCCAAATGAATACATTGTTGTTTTATCTTCATTGGAATATCTTTAATGTTATTTCATATATTAGCTCTTAGTTAGTTCCACTTGCAGCTAAACAATATTTACTGTTGAAACACTTTTTTTTAGCAGATCAATTTCAGATATTGCAAGTAGAAAGAGTTCTCATCAATTTTGAAATGCTTATCTTAGAGAGAGAGAGAGAACTACAATTATTCTTTAATATTAATTTTTGTATATAATGTTCTCATTCTCGCCAAGTCTGCAATCCAAACTTGAGTTCAATCACCGCTGAATCCAGTTGCAACTGCAACTGACCTGTGCGGTATTTTCTAGTGGCACTTGTCGATATTGGCCGAGGCGAATTGTTGCACAGGTGTCCAGCTGCTGGACGGGCCGTCAAAAGAGCGATTGGTTTCAAGTGGCAAATTAAAAATAAAAAAATCAATTCAGGCCTGGCAAATTGCGGCGCACGAAAACTGAAAACTGACATTTCCACAAAACACACAAAAAAAAAAGAAATACAAGAAAAAAAATTAACGAAAAAAATAGCTTGAAACAAAGGAGCACAAAAGAAAAAGGTAGCAAAAAATAAATAAAATAAAATTAAAGTAAACACAGGCAGCAGCACTAACAAAAATCACGTATACGCAGCGTTTTTCCACCGAATCGTGTCTGTGTGCGGCGTGTTGTTGCGGTGTGTGTGTGTATGTGTGTGTGTGTGCGGCGTGTGTGTAAGCAATATACTTAACATTCATTATGGTCGTGCAGTTTGGCCAGTTGTTCGCCGTTTGGTTCATCGTCAAAATGCAATAACAACTTTCACTGGCACGCGTTGAGGAGTCGCATATCTCTCTCCCTCTCTCTATCTCTGTCTCTCACTGAGTAATCTCTGTGTGTGTGTGTGTGTGCAACATGTCGCACAGTGTGCGCAGCAGCAAATCCTGCCAGGCAACAGCCAGCACGGGCAACAGCTCCAACGCCAAGCAGGAACAGCTGACGGCTGGCGGCAGTGTGCCCCACAAGTTTAGCAGCATTGTGAACAAAGTGGAGTCGCTGATCAGCAAAATGCACCACGACAAGGTCAACAACTTTAAACTGCTCCAACAGCAGCAGCAGCAGCAGCAGCTGGAAAGGGACGAGTGTCTGGATCAGGAACAGCAGCAGCAGCAGCAGCAGCAGCAGCAGCAGAGCTGTAACAAATGCGCCTCCCTTGACTCGCTCAACAATCTGACGGATGCAGACAGCTGCGAGGATCACGATCACGAACATGAGCATGAACTGCTCTACACGGACTCGGATGATGCGGAAATAGCACACATTACCGGCACCACTGCCGCCCAGGTGCACCACCACCAGCAGAAGTTGCAACTGCATCGACGCAGCGATCTCGATCAGTTGACCAACGAGAGCATTCGGGATCTCAACGAACAGTGCTGTGTATCGCTGGGTGGCGAACTAAATGCGGCGGGTGGTGCTGCCGGCAGTGGTATTGGTGGTGCTGCTGGTGGCGCTGACTGTAACGATCAGGACTACGACAATGCCTGGAGTGTCGAGGAGGATATCGTCTACAAGTGCTGCAGTGGCACAGCAGCAGCAGCAGCAGCAACAAGAACAACAACAGTCAGTGGCATCCTCTGCGACGAGTGCTGCTACGAAGAGCAGCTCAACTACAAGCTGCACCTCAACCAAAGAGATAGCAACAACAACAGCGCTCAGAATGATGATGAAGATGCTGCTGACGACGATGATGCAACGCGCAATGTAGAGGCAACAATCACAACTGTGACGACAGCAACAGCCGTTAGTCTACCCATTGCCGTTCCCATTCCAAACTCCAACTCCAGCTGCAACTCAGCGCTGCTGTTGGGCACCGGCAAGACACGACGCGTGAGCAATGCGAGCAGCGGTTCCGTTAGCCGCATGGAGACCATTCTAGAGGAGCCAACTGAATCAAAAATATCCGTCAAGGAGATTCTAGCACGCTTCGAGACCATGAACTCCAACGAGGTATGCAGCAATCTTTGAATAGTTGAATCTTTGAGCACGTCTAATTGGCAACAGAAACAACTCGAAACGAGCCTTAAACTCGTATTTCGATATCTCTCACAGATTTATCGAGCAAATATAAGTTTTATATTTATATTGCTTGATCCATATACAAATCTCAGTTTGAAAAGTTTAGGAATAGGGTAGGATCAAATCGTTGTTAGATTGAGCAACTGGCAAAGAGCGACGAAACAGATTTGGGTGGTAATTCACACACATAAACTTGAGCTGGACATCTTAAAACTCGACCCGACCCAGACAGTGGACAGACAATGGGTGTGCAAGCGCAGAGCTAATCAAAATAAACTGGGCCTTTATAATAATTACAAATTACGCAGCGCATATGCAAAGGTGTCGGTTAGATGACGATATATAAAGATGAAAAGATGGCAAGCAAAAAAAAAAAGAGAGCTCTCTTTACAGTTTGCTGCGAGTGTTGCGGACAACGGTAAAGTTAATCAACACATAATCGCATTATTAGCAAGCCCAACACAACACATCAGACATCACACAACACAACACACAACAGACAATAGAGAGACAGGGCCACCTGGCAGCAGCGACCCACCTGAACCAGCAAACTGAGCCAGCCACCACCAGAGTCATCCGAGCCAACAGCCAACTGCTTACATCATGTCGAACTGTCCGCTCTTCTTCATCTTTGGCCTTATGATGGAGAGCATCGTCTGGCAAATTGACGAGCTAGCAAACCTGCTGATTAAAGGTGTCGATTATACAACATACACAGCAACAGCAACAACAGCAACAAATAACATCTTTTATATTATCATCATCGGAAGTGGTCCAACTGTTGGGTCTAAAGGTTTCCAGTGTGGCTAATAGAAATGAGGTGTTTTGTGAAACTGCCAGGTGAATTAATACAATTTGTTGTTGTTCACTTTCCCAACTGCAATTTAGCTAATATTAAAAGATTTGGTTTCATTTCGTATAGTTCAATATAATAATAAATATATTAGGGATTCGTTTTGGCACTTATCTCGAATGTGATACATATTGCATCATTTGATTTCTTTGGATTGGTAGAGATACATGGATATATATTGACATGAATAGAAATATATGTGGAATACAATTATTTGGGGCAACTCATCTCACGATCTCTAATTTTTGAGTTTATGTCACATTAGGTATGCATTTTGACAATTCTTGGAAATTAAATTGTTTTTTTTCTTTTTTTTTTTTGGATATATTAAAGTTCTCTAAGTGTCTAAGAACTTTTACTTCGGTTTGGATCTAAGATCATATTTTAGGCAAACCGAATATGCTACGCTTCGGATCGAGGGGTTCTTTAAATGCCAAAGTAGTCATAAAACTACCACACCAACAACAACAAAAGAAAAAACACTATTAACCCAAAAAAGATGGCAGAAAGCAGCTGCAGATCCCAGATCCCAAATCCCAGAGATACGTTTACAGCAAGAGCAGAACGTGCGGATGGATGGCGACGACGTGAACGGGCACAGAACATATGAGCAGATGAGATACCCTCGTTTGCTTTACCCCATTTAAGAAAAATAACAACAAAAAAAAAACAATATAAAGATTGTAATTTAACTGTAATTTGATTTCAATACTTTAATTACATTTCGTGCATCTTTTATTGTCGGCAGATCTGCTACTGCTGCTACTGCTGCCGCTGCTGTTATTTTATTATTATTTTTTTTGTTGCTATTTTCCTATGGTAAATGAGTTTAATTTCTTTTGTCTCGCCCGTCAGCTCTAAATTGTTTATACATACCAGTTGCCAGCTGTTGCTGTTGCTGTTGCTCCATCTTCTTCTTGTTTTGGGTCTTCACATACATGAAGATTTTCTAGTGTGGTGCGCATTAATTACGAATTTTAATTAACTCGAGTAAAATACAAATACAAATACAAATACAAATACAAATACAAATACAAATAAATGTATGTATGTATATGTATGTATGTATACAATAAAAACAAAACTAAAAGCCAAAAAGAAAGTTGCTACCGCTTAAAGCATACCCCCCACCCCGCCGCTATCCCGCTATCCAGCTGCCCCGCCCCCCTGTAGCGCTGTAGCCCCTTGTTATAAATGTACACACACATAATAGAGGCAAACGCGCCACAAATTATATCCGAAATAAAAGTTAAGTTTAAAGTTTTCCTCGTATTGTTCGTAATGTTCGTTTTTGTTTGATGTTGTTTTCTGTGTGTGGTTGGTTGGTTGGTTCGTTGTTGTTGTTGTTGTTGTTATTTTGCCTCACTTTTCCACCGAATTGAATTCGCATTGGCCAAGCCAAGAGCCAAGCTAAGCCAAGCCAAGCCAAGCCAAGCCAAGTCAGCCGCCAACTGGAGCACAGCCGACGCTAGTCTGCACTCGACTCCACACTGCACTCCAACCGACACCATACCCTCCACTCTCTTACTCAATCCCATTTTATTTGGTCAGGCTGGCAGGCAGGCAGGCAGGCAGGCGACCCCTGGACGGGCAGAGTCTGAGAATCGGCTTCGGTATCGAATTCTGAATCTGAATCGGAATTGGAATTGGAATCATAGCCGGTGCTAAACAAGTCATGTGACCCACTTTGTGGCCGCTTCTCGACGAGTCTCGTTCTCAATTTTACAATTAAAAAAATACAAAACACAGCCCCTGAAAATGATTAAGTAGACGAAGATGAGGAGCAAGTTGGCATCGGTTACGATTTGTGTGTGCAGTGGCATCTCGATGTTATTGCCCCGCCTCTTCATTTGACATATTTGGCATATTTATGGAGTGCTTTTTCTGGACTGTCTGTCTCTCTGTCTGTCCATCTGGCTGTCTGCCTCGAAATTTAGCTCAGCGTTTTATGCCCACGTCCGCTGTCAATCGGTTATCTGCTATCCGGTAACAAGTTGAATTTGCCTCTTTTAATAACGGGTCTGCTCGGCAACTTTGCATTATCTGGCCTCGTGTCGTCCATCCTCCAATATTATCATCGATCAAGAAAACTAATTAACAGAGGTGTTGTTCATGTGAGTGTTTGAAGTGAGCGTTTGCGAGTTATGTGTTTGCATGTCTTTCACGAACTCGTTTCGATTGAACATGTTTTGGTTTTGATTCGACAAAATAATGAGACTCCTCTTTGACTTGCCATATGTACGAGTATGGATTTAAAACAAATCATTTGCTTCTTAAAGCTTTTTAATAACCTGATTCCTGAAATTGCATCGCCAACTCGATAAACTATATATTGTATCATAAAAACTGCTTTTAATTTGTTTGATAATATTGATACAAATTACGCGAATATCAATACAACAATACAAACAATAAAAGCCACAATTTATTATTATATTTTATTTGAATATTAAATACGCTTTGACATTTTATTGATGATCTGTATACATTTCTATATATAACAACTGGATTGGGTTTATTTCGTAGACGAGCTCTTTCGACTGAAACATTCCTTTACTGGACGTGGACGTGTCCTCCTCGTTGGTCGTGGGACACTCTAGTTTCATTGCTGACGAGCAACAAGTAACAAGCAGATCAGTTTTCTCCCAACTATATATATTTGATATTTGATCTTTGATTTGATTTCACTGCTTATTTAACACTTTAATTTATACATTTTGCTCGGGCTCATGTTACGTGTGCTCCTCCAATTATGCTTGAAACTTGACTGCGCCTTAATTGTGCTTGTCATTGTTAGTCTAGTCTTGTTTTTTGTTCTGTAATCTGTTATCTGTCACTTTCTCATCTCGTGCAAGAAAAACGGGATTATCACCTGAGTTTTGGGCATGTTTGTTGTTGTGTTACGCATTGTTGCATCGCCAGGTGGCGTGTTAGTGTGTTGGCTTATCAAAAATGCACGATTGCAATTGCAATTGCAAATGAAATTGAAATGAATATTAATGGTTTGGCCAAAAACTAGACGCCAATTAGAAGTGCGATTTTTCGCAGCAAGGCAGCTTGATTGATTGGTGAAAGATTTCCGCTTTCATAAACAACAACAACAACATTAACTTTTACTCACCTTTATTGTTGTTGTTGTTGTTATTGTTATTGTTATTGTTGTTTTATGCGCTTGAGAAATGCATTGCAATTTGCGGTTGGCTGTGGGTGTTAGCTTCAGGTGCAATAAGTTGTGGCAGCTCTGGCCAGACACCATGTTGCTGCCTATTGGCAATGCCTCAAAATCACTTTCGTTGCCAAAACGCAGTCGCTCTCTTATATATATATACATACTGTGTATATCTACTGTCTATATATATATGTATATATGTATCGACGTATGATAGGCGCACCCCAAACAAAAAGTGACCGGTTTGGCTTTGGCTTGGACTAAGTTAACCAAAACTGGTCGAGTGTTTGGCCAAAAAGGCGCCCAGCAACTTTCACATGCCAATGACTTGACAATTAACGAATTGCATCCATATTATGTTGCACACCACTCATCATTATCATCATCTATCTTCTTTTTTTTTTTCTTACTTATTTGGTGGCACAGTCACAATCGAAGGCATCGACACTGTCATCGGGGGCACGTGCCGCCGCCCAAACGTTGAACGTGCCGCTGGATCGTCTGGAGCCGCGACAGGCTCAGCATGCCCAGCAACAGCAGCGCAACGAGCATGCTCACTCGAATGGCGGTGGCGATGCCACAATCGAGCAACATCATCTGCAGCAGCAGCAAGTGGAGCTGCATCATCAGCAGCAGCAACAGCAGCAGCTGGAGGATGGTGCCGACGAGGAGCAACTCGTGGAGCAACAGCGCTACATTAAACAGCAAAGCTATTTGCACTCGAATGCTGCACGCAAATCGAATGCCGGCCAACAGCAGCAGCAACAGCAGCAGCCCAACTCCCTCACCAATGGACACCAGCAACAGCAGCAGCAACAACAGCAACAACATGACCTGGACGGCAACTATATGCTGCAGGATGAGCTCAATGGCAATGGAACGCCTCCGTCTGTTACCAAGTACTCCCTGCTACAGTTTGCCATGCAGCACTTCCGCAATGAGTAAGTGCATCCTCCTCATTACTCCCCAATCCGCACTCTCCACTCTCTCTCATTCTATACTCATTCTCGTTTGTGTGTGCAGCCAACTGCGCGACGCCGATCGCCATCACGAGCGCCATCAGTCGTCGTCATCGTCGTCGGCAGCGAATCGCTCCTATGCGGAGCTTGTGAAGTGGCAAGGACACGCGATACGGCTGCCACTGCTCCGGCTGCCCAATGATCTGGCGCCGTTGGCGCTCGAGTGCTTCGACTGCATCCTGCGCTACTGCGGCGACATTCCACTCGATCCCGAGCTCACTGAGGTCAAGTGTGTCTACACAGTTTTAATGGTAAGCGATTGCAATGCATTTCACTTGGCTCTTTCCTTCAGCTGTTGCTAATCCCTGCTAATCCCTTGCAGCACTGTCACAAGTATCTGGCGCTGCGCGACGAGGTCTATTGCCAGCTAATGAAACAGACGACGGCGAATCGTTCGCCATGCCCGGACAGCTCGCAGCGGGCTTGGCGACTGCTGAGCATACTCGCTGCTTACTTTGGCTGCTCGGATGCGCTGCGTCCGTATTTGATGGAGCATCTGACATCGGCCGCCTCGGATCGACGTCGCTCGTGCCATGGCACCGCCGCCGTCTGTCTAACCAATCTGCGGAAGACGGCCCGCTGCGGCGGACGCAAGAATGTGCCCAGCGTCGAGGAGGTGACGGCCGTGTCGGCGGGACGGTCGGCTCGTCGCCAGATCTATCGGCTGCCCGGCGGTGCGGAACGTGTGGTGAACACACGCTGTTCCACGGTGGTCGCCGATGTTATTGCCGAGCTGTGTGCGCTGCTCGGCGTCGAATCGGAGGCGGAACAGCAGGAGTTCTCGCTGTACTGCATTGTGCAGGGCGATGCCTTCACCATGCCCCTGGCAGCCGATGAGTACATTCTGGACGTGACCACGGAGCTGCTGAAATCTGGCCAGCCATTCTATTTGATATTCTGCCGTTCCGTTTGGCATTTTGCGCTCAAACGTGAACCGGCCCCGATGCCGCTCTACGTGGAGGTGCTCTTCAATCAGGTGGCGCCCGATTATCTAGAGGGCCTGCTCCTCGAGCTGCCCGGCAATGGGGTGCCCATGCCGGAAATGGTGCGCGATATGGCGCGCATTGCAGCGCTGCTCCATCGCGCCGCCGATCTGAGTCATGTGCCGGCAATGAAGGAGATCAAGTTTCTGTTGCCCAAACCGGCGCTGGGCATACGTGAGATACGACCGGCTCAGTGGGTCGGTCTGGTGCAGTCCGCTTGGCCGCAGGTCGCCAACTTGAGTCCAGGACAGGTGAAGGCGCAGTTTTTAAATGTGCTCGCCGCTTGGCCCCTATTCGGCAGCAGTTTCTTTGCGGTGAAACGCATCTGGGCCGAGGAGGGGCCCCATGTCGAGGACAATCATAATCCCATGTGGCGGGACTTAATCTTGGCCTTGAATAGACGCGGAGTGCTATTCTTGGATCCAAACACACACGAGACACTGCAGCACTGGAGCTTTATGGAGGTCATCTCCACGCGCAAGGTAAACAACGACATTAGGTGATTCATCTATCGATTGTCGATTAACTTTCTCTTTATGTGTCTGTCTGCAGGTGCGCTCGGAGGATGGCGCCCTCTTCCTGGACATGAAGGTGGGCAATCTAATGCAGCAGCGTGTCATACGCGTCCAGACGGAGCAGGCGCACGAGATCTCGCGCCTGGTGCGACAATATATCACCATGGCCCAGATCAGTCAGCGCGACAAGCGGGAGCTCAACTAGATGCAACGAATATTACGAATATGTCTATTATTATTATATCTTCTCTATATATATATATAATATTATTATCTTTTTTTTTTTTGTTCGCTTTTTAAGTCTTATACCACATACATATTTATAAAGTATGTCCATATTATACCGATACCTATAACTATACCCTATATACCTATATGCAAATACATACATATGTAGACCAAGTGGCAGCTGAAAAGTGCTATTCGGCGGAGAATCTGGAAGAGGCAGGCTTTTCCTGCATTCTCTCAAATTGCTCCACTTCGGCCATATTCCAATTTCCTTTCCCCTTTTCTCATCCTCTATCCGTCCGGCTGCATCACGTACACACACACACACACACAACATGTTTATGCTTACTTTATATATCTGAACAATTTGTGTCCTAATTTTAAGCAATAATAATGTGCAATCCCGAGTATTTGGCCCCGCTCTATGCACAATTTGAATATTAATGCACTTCCCTTTGTTAAGCTTATTTTTTTTTGGAAAACTTGTTAAACGAAATTCGATGCAGTTGTATGTGTGTTTAGTTTAATGCTTAAATTATCATAAATAAATACAATTCAACGTATACCATTTGTAGAAGTTTCATCTCTCGTTGTGGGCGTGATCAGTTTGCAGCATGCCCGCAAGCATGCAGCATCAATTGTTGGCATTTGGTAATTGTCGCACCACAAAAGCAGGCAATAAAAACGCCAGCAAAAGTATGTTACAGATTTCTTAAAATCTAAATGTCTTCTTTCTTGCTGATTCTGTTCGCCTGGTGCTTTCCAACAAATCAAATCATCCGTCATGCAATAATAAAACTGACCAGCAATCGAGGGATCTGCCATAACCAGGCCATTTCAAGGATAATCGTGCTGAAATCAGAAGATTAGATATATTTTGTAGGTACTCTTCACATGCAGATTGCTCCTTGTAAAGTTTGCTGTCAATAAAAGGACTATTTTGTGTAGCCATAGCTTAGGACTACATAATTGCATTCAAAGATTTTCAGGATTCGAGGATGGAAGCCTTTTAAGAAGTCGAGATAAATCAGATCGCCCATAGCTTGATTATATCCTTAAAGCATAACCTGGCGGATCATATGGCAAACTATTGGCTTAACCCTTACCAACTGGCCAAAGGGCATCCAAATCGCACTTGTAGCTTATGAGAAAACAGGCAATTTATGACTAGGACTCATTTCCGTTTGCCCTGCTGTGAGATTCTAACAAGTGTTTGGGTTCTTCGACTTTGAATGCCAATTAATGGAGTTCGACCATGTGAATCTAACGCACCATGTCCTTCAAACATCTACGAGGAAATGGCAAAGTTGGAGCCAAGTGGCTTCTCGTCGCAATGACACAAATTTCTTTTGGTAGAGGTCAAATTAACCAATGCAGCAAATCTTGGGAGCAATACATTTTTGAAAAGAATACGCTTCTCATGGCTGTGACTCAGCTTTTTTAGCAAGCAGAGCACATCGACTCAAATTGAAAGACTTCAGGACTCAGGATTCTTTTGTAATTCACAAATTTCACTTGCTCAGCTGCCGGCAATAAATCAAAGTTTGTCTGAAGTCTTTTGACTTTATGTTGTCATTGTCCATTTTTATCAGTTTCCGTCGTAGAGAAAAGGCCAATAAAAACTGAACAATAAAATAAATAATTTATTAGCTAGTCATACACAAAGGAAAAAAATAATAATAATAATAATACAAAAAAAAAAAAACAAATGCAATTAGATTCTAGGCAATTTGTCAGCCCGTTGCTCAAATAATATTTGGTATGATTTGATCATTGTCATCCTCCTCATCCTCATAATCACCATCCGCCTCCTCATAATCATCCTCATCCTCGTCCTCGTCGTCATCATCATCATCATCATCGTCGTCATTACCATCTTTGTCCCCATTATTATCGTTATTATCAGCGTTGACTGGCGCCGCCGTCAGCTGCTCATGTGCACTGAACTGTGAGGCGATGGCCACTGATGGCGATGGTGGCCCACTTGTTGCATTGTTGCTGCCAGCTCTCATTATTTTTGGTGTTGTTGCTGATGCTGTTGCTGTTGTTGCCACTGTCGTTGCCTCATCAGCAGCTGCAATGTCGCTTAACGCTTCATTAGTCGCATTGTGGTTGCCACCACGTGTGGCGGCTGCTGTTTCCGTTCTCGTCCTTGTTGTTATACCAGCCATTGTTGTTGTTCTTGCTGTTGTTGCTGTTGTTGTTGTCGATGATGTCGATGTTGTTGTAGTTGCTGTTGTGGCGTCGTTTGTTCCATTTGCTGGCAACTTAGCAATTGCGCTGTCATCAGGCGCACCTGCGCTCAGCTCAAGTGGTGGGGGCGTAATACGGGGTGGCGCCACTGAGGTCAGCAGAAACTCGTCAAGTATCTCACAGTTCTTGCCCAGATAGCCCTGCCGGCAGTGGCAACGATAGCTGCCATCCTCGCTGCTCAGCGAGATGCACTTGCCATTGTTGTCGCAGGTGCCCGGATTATCAGCACAATACCGCAGCTCTGTGTGTGTAAGGATTACAATAATAATAAGATGCATTTTGCAAGTTATATGTTGCATGTCGCATGTTGAACCGAGTCGAGCTCACCTTCGTCGCAAAGCATGCCGCCCCAGCCAGGACGACAGTTACACTCCCAGGGCGACTCACAGTCGCCGTTGACGCAGCCGGGATAGGGGAAGCACTTGTCACACTGCGTGCCCGTCCAGCCCACTTTGCAACTAACCAAATAGGAGAAGAAGCAGAGGGCGTTTAGTTTACATATCTGCGGGTCAAAAGGTCGCTCAACTCACCGACATTCGCCCGGCCTGCGACAATAGCCGTGCTGCTTGCTGCAGTCAGAGGCGCAGAGCGCTGCAAAGTGTGTACAAATGTTGCAAATTAAATGGGGCATGGGGACTGGGGACTGGGAGCCAGCTTAAACAGCTCACCTGTCTGGCAGAGCAGACCCGTGTAGCCGGGCTTGCAGTTGCACTCGAGCGGCTTGTTGCACGTCCCCTCCTTGCAGCCCGGCATCGTTGCGCACTCGCTGCAGCTTCTGCCCGCCCAACCGAGACGGCAGCGGCACTCGCCCGGCGACTCGCAGTATCCCCGTGTGTTGTGGCAACCACTGCGGCAGCTCGCTGCGACAACAAACAATAAAAAGTTTCAGTGATTTGTGTAGTTCAAAATGTCAGTTGATCAAACCCAACTAACAAATACCCAGGCCAGGCCAGGCCAGGCCAGGAATTAAAGAATTAGAAGCTTACGTTCGGTGCAGAAGAGACCAGCCCAGCCGGGCTTGCAGATGCACTCGAAGGGTTTGTTGCAGATGCCGTGCTGGCAGCCGGGTAGGGGTATGCACTTGTCGCACTGCTCGCCAGTGTACCCGATCCGACAGCGGCACTCTCCGGGACGCTGGCAGTAGCCTGTTCAAGTGGGACACACACACAGGGAGAGAGAGAGAAAGAGAGAAAGGTTGGGTTGGGTATTGTTTGAGTCAGTTGCTTACCATTCATCGGATCACAGCCACGCCGGCACATGGGGACCTGGCAGAGATCGCCCTGCCAGCCGGGCAAGCACTTCACATCCCCCTTCTCGTCACAGATGTAGTGCGAATTCATCTTGTTCTTCTGCGGCGTCTCGCAGGCCTGTTCTTGGAGTCAATAGTGGACTCAATCACTTAATGGTTGGCGGATTGGTCGGTTAACACTTACGCGCTGCTTCCACAGAGGTATGTTTGAATTGATGCTCGTCTGGCGCGCATTGAAGTTGCGTCTCAATGCCTCCGCCCCACTGCTCATTGTGCTTGTGGTCGCCACCAGCAGCAGCAGCGCCTGCGGGCCGCCCAAGCTTTGTGACAACAGCATATCTATGTATATAAACAATCCACTATATATATTTATGCTATGAATTTCACTTTCAAAATCGAATACTGCAAAATCTGAAAGCCAACTTTACATAAAAAACAGGCGATTTCAAGCTCAAACCAAACAAAATTATATCAGAAGTATCATAGTCTATAGTAGGGAGATCCATTAATCGATTCAATCACAACTCTTGAATTTTTAAATGGAATTTTTGGACAAACTTGAGCTTAGATTGAACATTACTAAGAATAATTATAAATACTTTTTCACATTTAGTAATTGCATTAAAATTGATTGATAAGACAAACTTCTTGTTGTATTCTTGTTGGTCTATAGATATTTAAATGTACTAGAAATCGTTCCAAGCAGTTGCTTTGAGACTGAGACAACTGCATTACACATTGTACACATTGTAATTACTTTGGAGTACTATCAGATACTTTATCCACGGAGTTAATTTAACAAAATCGAAAGAAATCACTTCACTTGTGGAAGACAGTGAAACATAGGCGACTTCTTGCTTGCGGAGCCACACAACCAACCGATCACCAAAGACAATTAACATGTTCCGAGACAACTTTCTTCGCTGCAGCAACGACAACAATAATAACAATAATAATAGTAATAAAAAAGAACAGTAAGGTCTGAGAGACAGCCCGATTTCTTAATGAATCATCATAAAATCGAACGCACCAGCAACGAACCAAGCAAAATACGATGAGAAATTTTTGAAATGCAAATCGAAAACTTCTTGCAACGTAGTATTATTGTTATTATAAACCGCCAGAGAACGAGACCCTCCTCTGCTTGCGTTCACTTACAGACTAATCAATTAGCTTTGACTTTGACTTTGACTCCAGCGAATCGGCGACTCGGCGACTCTCTCAAAGCTGAAACAGAATTCTTGGATCTCTCGCCGTCTTGCCGTCTCTCTGGCTGGTGTTTGTGCCAGGTGTTGAGTGTGCGCAGAGAAATTTGAAAACCGGCAGCAGCTGCTGTTGGCATTCGCCAACACTTGGCTCCTACATGTTGGCTCTGAGCGCTTGGCACCGCCGCAATTGGGTCAAACGGTAAGTCCAAAATCAGCTGAGCGACGCGTCGCCTCAACCCAAAAGCGAAACGAGTCGCAACAAGTTGAGGCGACAACAAATCGACACATTTCCAGTTCATTTTCATGAATGCCACTTGAGAAACACCTAATAGTAATAAGTAGAAGATTATTCGCGTCTTGGGTTTTGTTTTAAAATTATATTTATTTTTTATTGTGAATGCTCGATTTTCATTATATTTATATAATAATTATCTTTTGCTTTTTGAATTTTTTGACTTTCGTATGTGCCTTAAAGATTTTATTTTTAGTCGCTCAAAGCAATGTTCAAGCTGGAAATGTTTCCTCTTCTCTTTGATCTACATACACATATATATATATATATATATATGTATATATATATATCAATCAGTAGGTGTATATTAGTGTGTGTGTGTGTGTGTGTGTGTGTGAGTTCAGACAAGAACAAAAAATGGGTTCATTGCGCTGCTTGGTTTGTAAACAATGGGAACTAGTAGTACTTAAACGATTGCATAGCATACGCGCCTCAAACTTTGAACTGTGACTGCTGTGAAAGAATTAGACTGTGAGAAAAGTCTAGTAGAAATTAACTGCTGCCAGTTGAAACGATTTCGAGAAACATGATTCAAGATTTATCCAATCAAAAATGGAAGATCTTCAATTGAAAACCAATTCGAATCGATAAAATGAAATGAACCCGATCTGCATGCAGTATACGAGAACTATTATGTCAAACTTTAAGTCAACAGTTCTTATGGTGTCGGCTATTGATCCTGATGAACAATATCACTAAGCAGACAATATATATAATATATAATATATCCTTTCGCCAGAATTTACAACTTCATTATACCGTTTTCCCATTTCAAATTAAACCCAAAACAAGAATTACAATCTCAGAGCAATACTGCGTTCTTCAAACAACAAGTAGACAATAAACTATAAACAAACTCAAGCAGGGAATAAAATATTCTTGCTTTGAAGTGCATTTTGGTTTTACCAAACTTACTTATTTTGAAGTGATAGCAGCATAATAAGAATTCAATTCTGAATATATCCATCTGTCTGTGTGTATTTTATGTGTGTGTGTGTGTGTGTGGTGTGTGCTTAGGATTAGTTTTGCAAGTAAAACTATGAGCTAATGGTTAGGCTGACATATGTGTGTATGATTGTATGCGAGTGAGTGTATGAGTAATTTAATAATGGTTCTTTATATCTAAAGCGACAGATCCTCAATCATCCTCAATCATCCTCAATCTTCTTCATATTCGGTATGTATTTATCGCTTAATATCTAAGATCTGCATATCGAGGGGAGGGGCACAGAGTTGTGTTGAATTTCTAGAGGAATAATACACACACACACACACACTAACCTACTTATGTGTGTGTGTGTGTGTATTGTTGTATGACGGAGTGGCTAATATCATTATAATTATTGGTATATCATAATATTAGTTAGAGTTATTCAATGTCAAGTGTATGTCAAGTATGCACTACATGTTCTTTTATCGGTCAGCTGTTTGTTTGGATTGTGTTGTGCTTTCGAGCTCGGCAGGCCTGCGAAATTGATTTATTTACAACTTTGCTACAGTCATAACTCGCTACCAATTGCGAATTACATACTTGTGTGTGTGTTTGTGTGTGTGTTTGTGAATATAGAGCGAGTTATTGCTGTACTCCTCATATATATCTTCATCATCTTGTTTAATTCTTGTTTTCACTACAATTACATTTAATGCCCATCGATTATGCACGGAGAGAGAAGAAAAAAAAATTACCATTCATTATATCAATTAATTCTTAATTAACTGTCTTAAAGTTTAAACACTTAAGTGCGAGTTCTTGCAGAGTGTGAAGGGTGCGCAGGCAGAAGGGTTGGGAGGGGTAGGTGGTAGGGTGTTGGGTTTTGGGTGTTTGGGTGGCAGCTGCAGTTCGATATGATATAGATAGAATATATATGTGATATGGATGACTGAGTGAGTTCAGCAACTGCCCTGCGGGGCGAGGGTCTGGATTTGTGGATAACTGTGTGTGTTTGGGTGTGTGTGTGTGTGTGTGTGTGTGTGTGAACTCGCTACATATAGACTAAGCGTATACCCTACACATACTCATACTCATACCCATCATACTCTACTACATTTATATATATATATATATATTGACTCGTCAATTGTATATTTTTTTTGTTTTTGGTTTTTGTTTTTGTTTCTTGGGAAAAAAAAGAAGACCGCTGACAACAGGAAGAGTTGCAACTGTTGTTGTTGGTGTTGTTGTCGCTTAGTTGCTTAGTGTGGCTTAGACGAATATGAACTGGGCGTGGTTGCACTTCTTTGGCGGCCCGATGGTCAGGCGTAGCCACTTGCCACGACACGACGGCGCCGGCAGCGCACTCCAGCGCGTCGTGCGACCCGACAGCCCCTCGCCCCGGCAATGATGGCTGAGCAGCAACTGTTGCTGCTGCTGCTGTTGCTGCTGTTGCAATGCCAGCGGCGATAATGGCGCTGATTTGTTGGTGCTGCGCTTCGACGTCGCTGACCGTTGACGATGCGACTGCGATTGCGATTGCCGTTGGCGCTTGTATTCGTAGTTGTTTTCGTTGCTGCCCGTTTCCGTTTCCGCTTCCGCATCGGTTTCGGGCTCGAGCATGTTTTGTGCATCATCCTCATTGGTTTCCTCCTCCTCCTCCTCCTCCTCGTGCTCGGGCTCCTGTTCTGGCTCTTGTTCCTGCTCCTCCTCCTCCTCGTCCTCCTCATCGTTCTCCTCATCATCATTGTTGCTGCTCTCGTCACCTCCTCCTCCCTCCTCTGCAGTCAAATACTTGCGCGTTGTTGTTGTTGTTGTTGTGGTTGTTGGAGCAGTCGTTGCTCGGCCACCCTGCAACTTGTTGCTGCCTGTTGCACTTGCGCTCGCCTCCTTGTCCTGCACGAGCGCCTCAAGGTCACAGCGCACAGTTATGCGATCGCCTGCAGACCAGTTCGAAAATGTTCAACACTCAAAACTGATTCTTGATTCAAGCTGAGCACATAAATGATGCACTTGATGAAATCACTTACCTTCTTGCATGAGATTGTAGGGTGGCAGCTTGTGGCAGCCTTGGATGCCTTGATTACCTCGAATTCGACGCAGTATCTGAAATGAAACGAGTTCAACAAAAGTGACACTTTTCAGCTAAACAAGTAGTTCACAAAAGTTATGCCAATGGCAAATGTATCTCATATGTTTATATCATTTATATATATATATACTATATCTATGAATGAAGGCATACTAATTGTATTATCAAGTATAATATATATATTTGAGTAGAATACATTCTGTAAGGTATAAAGTAAGGCATTCTATTCGCACACAGATCCCGCAGGTGAGTTAACAACACGCTGCGTGTATAGCTACTCATAAACTGTTCAATTTAATTTCCAATTACATGTCGTGGGTATGGGCCCCCAATAACTGTGCTGTGGCATAACACTGACTTTTGCCGTGCGTAAGGACAACGAGAGAGAGGGAGAGGGAGAGGGAGAGGGAGAGGGAGAATAAAAGAATGACAGAATAAGAGCAAAGCTGGCAGACAGAACAGACACGGATGGATGGATAGAATGATGATTGCGCAATTGTGCGCAGCCGAAGGGCAGAAGATGAGGCAGTGAAGGGCAGGGCACACACACACACACACACGCGCACACACACACGCACACACACACACAGAGTCAGTTCAAAGGCGCCGCTAGTCACCCGGAAATTCGAACTGTCTATTAAGCCTAACAATTTCCGTTTCCGTTACGCAAAAAACGCAGCGCACAAAAACAAATACAATTGAAAGGCGACTGTCAAGTGGTCTTGGCTGTAAGTGTGTGTGTGCGTGTGTGTGTGTGTGCGTGTGTGTGCGGGTGTGTGTGTGCGGGTGTGTGTGTGTGATGTGTACTTGACAGTTGTCAAGGTGTTGACAGCGGAAATTGCGTCGGAAATTTAAATGCGCCCTCAAATTTGTCTGTCTCTCTCTTTCTCTTTCTCTCCCTCTCTCTCTCTCTCTTGATCTCTCTCTCTCTCTCTCTCTCTCTGTCTGTCTATATGTCGAATCAATTTTGGCGGATATTTGGCCACTTAGCCAAGGCCTCAATTACCGAAACGAGACAGACATTGGCCAAATTAGCCGGGCCTGCATTCAATTGACACGACTACGGAAATCAAAACCAAATCAAAATTGCCCCCAGGCCAAGCAACACAAAAACCAACTGACAGCAAAACAGCAAACCAGCAAAACAACAAACACACAAAAACAACAGAACAACAGAAGAACAAAACATAAAAAAAGAAATGCGCGAGATTTTAATAGAAATATAATTCGAGCTGTCGACGGCTTTTCCCCGCGCTGAGCACTTAATTAACTTGGCCAATCTCCAGTATCCTGTCTGCCATCTCCCAGCTCGCAGCTGCCGTCTTCCGTCTGTCGCCCCCACCTCGGCCCGGCCATAAAGGTAAATTGAAAAAGAGAAATGCATGTAAATAAACTGCCAGCCACCGCACAAAGTAATAAAAATAAACAAGCCACGCAATGAATGCACAAAACTTGAGCAGCAAAACATAATTAAGCTCAAGTGGATGTCAGCCCAGAAACGAATCCTGCCAACGCGACGGACGCCAGTTGGCCGGGGGTGAGTTGTCTGTGGCAGGGTCTGTCTGTGGCTGCCTCAAAATGATGACAAAGAGCTATCAATGGTCAGCAACAGAGCCCAGAAAAACGTTATGAGATTGCCACATGTCTCGAGCAAAAAGGTGGCTGACCATCATTTTGGTCATAGTTTGACGGGCAGCAGCAAGCAGCAAGCAGCTCAAGTCCCAAAAATTATATGTATATATAAATAAATAATATATATATATATATATAGATATACTTGATTATCATCACTAGCTGAGTGCTGAGTCCATTTGGGCATCACAGTTAGTTTGTCTGTCTGCCTGCCGTTTGTCTTAAGGCAGTTTCTAGACGAAACTTGAAAAGTTGTTCTTCTCTTTGCGCCACTCAGTCAGAAGCAGGCAGAGTTGAAGTGCAGAAGTATCAGTGTAAAAAGTAGATTTTAATACCCTCAAGCCCTGAATTGAAAATATGTAACTGGCAGAAAGCTGGCAGACGCCGATTCCATTAATTATTCATATTCATATTCATTTTCGCTTGTAAGCTGCTTCAGCTTACACAAAGTTATGGCAATGGCAATGGCAATGGCAAATCTTTGGCTTGCCTATTTTCTTTCTTGATTTTCGACAGAATATTTTTGCTCAAATTTTGCATTCCTATCATATTTTATACTTTTTACTTTTTACTTTCTACTTTTTGTTTGCCACCTCTAGCATTTCTCCAACTGTGGCCTGTGTCTAAGAAATGACTCAATGCAACATAATTAGGTAAATACCGCATATTGTTGTTTTGCGGCTCAGCCAGAAATTCTTTAGCAAAAGGAGCTGCCAACAAGCTGCAAGAGCGAAACAGCCAAAAAAAAAAAAGCCAACAAACGAAGCAACTTTTGTGGCATACAACTTTGGTTAGGCGACTATATATATATGTATATATATATATATATACATGTGTATTTATTTCAAGTGTTTAGTTTAGTTAAGTCAAATGTCGACATTTTGGCAATTGCCATTTCAGGCTACGACTTTGGCAACAGTCTTCTAAGCCAGCCAACCCTCTGTCAAAAAGTCATTTTCTTGTCAAATATTTTGCCACTTCAAAGGGCAGGCAATGTGATGCGACGACAACTGTCAGTGGCAGCAACAAGCGTAGCAGCGACACTGCCACTTACAAAAGTATTTGCACTCGTTTATATGAAAGGCAAACAACAAACAAACACACACACACACACACACACACATACACACACAAACACACACACACACACCCACCGATAAAAAACATAACAGAGGCAGCAGAGAAGTGAGAGCAAGAAAAAACCGCTGGCTGCTAAAAATAATTGCTTGACAAAGTTGCCGCACAGCTTGCGGCACTCTGGACGAACCTGCCCCTTCCCGCCTCCCCCTCCCCCAGTCTGTGGGCTGCAGTCTCAGCGAGGGACTTCGATATACTTTGCCTACAGTTCGCACACAAAAACGGGAAACGAAAACGATGCGGACAACATCTCAATTTGGATTTAGTCCACGGAGCAACAGGCAACTGTGGCGAGCCTTGCCAGCCGAGTCTGGATCGTGTCCAAGCTGCAGCCTGCAAGCTGGAGCAGACCCAGTCCGAGTCCGAGGGCTTGCCAAAGGAAGCACTTTGCGGCGCTTGAGTGGGTCTCCTGAATAGGGGAAATGTTAAGAGACTACTCTGCGCTGGACTTTCCGTTCAGTCTCGCCCTTTCCGGTGTTCGTCCCTTTGGTCATTCGGTCTCGGTGTTCGTCTTATCCCTGCCATCATTTTAATGATGATTGAGCAGCGCGCAAATCTTGTTGCATACTTTCGGGCGACTTGGCAATGCAAAGGATGCTGGTCGGGGAAATTGTGGTATTGGTTTCGCCTGCTTGTTGGTTCATCGTCCTTGCTGTGACAGTTTCGTTTGGCTGCCTGCCCATTCAAATAAAACGGTTTATATATATATATATATATTTGTGTGTGTATGCATATATCTGTATATGTAGATACTATAATACACAGATTAGACTCTGCACCGTAAGCCGTTTACATCCCCTTCCTACCTCCCTCCCTCCCTTCAGTCCTTACGTTACCCTGCCCTGCTACCTCAATTTCATCGTACTTATTCTGGCCGAATAATTGATATTGACAATGTGCTGGCTAGTTAAATGGATGGATGTGCTTTGAAAGTTATAATTAGCACTGCAAATAGAGCGAATGAGAAGGCGGACAACGGGGCGTATGAATATTTGAGCATACCAACATATGTGCCATAATGCCAGCGAATCAATTATGCATGCAACTGTATCCGGTATCCTGTAATATGTATCCTGTGCACATACCTAGCTCGAATATTAGTTAGCCCCAACTACCAAATACCAACTAACTAACTAACTAGCCAACTATCTGGGCATGGTTATAATAAAGTTTAATTCAAAATCCATTCACAGCCATACAATATAAATGTTAATTATGTATATGTGCATAGATGTATGTATGTATTTAACTATCTATGTATGTATGTATGTATGTATGTATGTATATATGTATATATTATATACTTTTACTGTTACTGTGCTACATAATGGCATTGACGGATGACTTAAAACTTGATTGCTGTCACTTTGTGTGGCCTTTGAGCCGCTTAAAAGTGTTCTCTCTCTTTCTCCCCCTCTCTCTTTCGCTCTCTCTCTCTCTCTTCATAATTTTGTTCCCTTTTGTATGTCGTTTTCTTTCATTTTTTTCGCTTTTACTTTGGGCTCGCCTTGACTCGCTATTAAGTGCATAATTCAATTTGAAAAGCAGACTTTGAGTGCCTCTAAAAGTATGCAAAGCACAGACTCCCACACACACACACACACACACACACACACAGACGCACACACACAGACACAAACACAGATATAGGCTCACACATACACACATAGATCAACTGTGCATAAAACGAATTCAGCTGCGTTTGTTTACGTATAATGAAAATAAAGTAGCAGCTTTTACGCATTTTTATGGTTTTTATTTAAATGTCAACGGCGCGGCAGGTAGCAAAAAGAGGCGTGCTTGGGTGGCAGTGGGCGGTGGGCGGGTTGCTTACTGGCTTGTTGGCTCGGTCTAGCCAACGTCACCTACTATGCAAATGAGACTGTGTGCACCTGTGTGTGTGTGTGTCTGTGTGTTTGTGTTTGTGTGCGTATATCATAAAATCTGTCAATTCGCAGCACAATTGTCTTCAATTTTCAGCAGGAGACACCAACACAGAGATGACTTAAAGGCTAGTAATCAAGTTACTACGCTCTTTCTCTTTCTCTCTCTCTCTCTCCATTTCTGTCTCTCTCTCTCTCTCTCTCTCTAGGTGTCTGTCTGTTTGTCGGTAAATTTATGCGGTCCAAGCTAATCCTCATGGGGATTTTTTCTTAAAACGTTTTATTGTTGCCCCGTCGCACCCAACGCAAGTGGAGCTGCAGCAGCTTCAACTGTTGTTGGAGTTGCCGCCTGCTGCCTGATGATGCCTGCTCTTGTTCCTGCTGCTGGCTGGCTGGCTGGTTCGCTGGCGTACTTCTTCCTGAAGCTCGTCCTGCAGCCCTTTTGTAGGCCGAGCTTCTTACCCAGTTTAAGGCCCCTGTCGACTGCAGATTTCCCAGTTGCCTTGTAAATTTATCGCATTAAAAAGTGTGAATTTCGCTCGACTGGCGCAGGAGCTGCTTCTGCCAGAGAGTCCTGTGTAGCTAGTGTCCTGTAACCTGTACCTGAACCTGAACCTGAACACTCAGTCCGTGTCTGCTGTATGCTTTTGTAATTTCTTCACGGCAATCGCTTCGCACTGTCATTATGTAAATGAAATTGTGGCGAATTATTATTTTTATTTTTCGCTTGTTTTCCTTTTCATTTTCATTTTCATTTTCTCCTTCTGCTCGAGTTTGGTTTTCTGTTTGTTATTTGCGTAATTTATTTATTTATTTTCTTTGCCCCAGTTGCTTTCCACTGTTTTTGCTGTTGTTGTTGTTGCTGGTATATTTTGTGTGCTTCACGTTCTTAGCATTTGAGCGCATAATTCATAATTTGCACTGTCGTCCTTTGTCCTTGTCCTTTGTTCTTGCCGCTTGCCCCTTGCCGTTGCTGCCAACCTGCCAACCTCGCTGCGTATCAGCGCCAAAGCAATAAAAGTTTGTCGCTAGTTAACAAATCATTGCACAAGTGAATTGTGGCCAGGGCACGAAGGGATCCGGCCAAGGAGTGGAGGCAGTCTTCGTTGTTATGCTTATGATTGAGTTTCAATTGATTTGTGTGTGTGTGTGTGTGGATGAGTTGATTACGATAACATCAATATGTGAATACATATTCATCAGTTATTCATATGCTATTCCCTCGATGGAGTTTGTACAGCTTTCGATCTATATCGCTGGCTATATCAATTAGGCATTTCAGATAGGTAAAAATAGGCGACAAGTTAATGTTATCTATGCTCGCTGATTGGATTCTAAACAAGTTGATATTTTTGTTTAACGAGAAACGTGCAAAGTCTTCAAAGCTTAAAATAATAAATTGCGGATTTAATTTAATTTCGTGCAACAAAAGTGAGGGGCATCATAATAAACGGCTTTTGATGACCAAAGAAAACACTTAAAAAAAAAGAAAAGAAACACAAAACATGGAAGAGATGAAATAACAAACCGCAACAAGCGACAACAGCAACAACAACAAGGTAACAATAAAGAAAAAAATAACAGCACACACAAAGCAAGGCAAGGACAGGTTGAGAATTTGTTCCTGGTCCTCCCCCCCGTCATCCAATCCCCCTAAACGCGGTGTATTCGGCACGTGATTGATGTCCGCTTACTTATTGTGGCATACTCTTCCCAGCAACCCCAAACACATCACTCCCCTGTATAACAGTTGCTGTTTTTGCAATCAGAAAACCAGAGTCCAGTAGTAAATAGTCGTATTTGTGAGGACAACAATGACAAGCTTTCAACTTTGGCTCCCATTCATATATACCCAGCAAATAGCTGGTCAGCGATATAAATTTGTATTGCTGGAGAGATCCTTCGATGAGTACTTTTTTGCCAAGGGTATCTTTCAGTTGAGCAATCATTATTTGAACTTGCTTTTGCGCTTGTGGCCAGCTATGCTTTTTTTCCTATTGCTTATTCTTTGTTTGGCTTGACGCTTGGACAATTGAGAAAAAGACATCAAGGACACTTGGGGACAACGGGCTACCTCGCACACGGACGAGTCAAGGATTCGTAGTCAACCTAACCTGTCTCCAGGATGAATAGAATAGAATGAATCATAAACATTACCAGCAAAAAAAGCAAAAGCAAAAAAAAAAATGGAAAAAGAAAACAAAGCAACGAAATTCTCGTAAGGATGAAAATTAACAGCGCGTCAAATCAAGACGGGGATTTTATACAATTTTTATGCGCCTTTTATGATGGATTTTTATTGCTGACGCTTATGCTGATGTTATTCTTGGGCTTTCCCCGCTCCCTGTGCCCCACTCCAATGTTCGTTCTATTGCTCGCTTTTCTTGTTCTTTTCCATTACAGCATTAAATTGTTTGCATGCAGCGCAGGCCATAAAAAAATACAACAGCTAGCAACAAATTTGGGATTAATACTGAAATTCGTCTTCCACTTCCACTGCCACCTCCACTTCCTTTCCGTTGCCCTTGCCCTTTCATTTTTCCACATTTCCATTTACAATCCTCCGTCAACCTAACCTATAGCCGTAAAAGCGGCTTTGGGAAGCGATTTTCCACACCTTTTGCATAGAATCGAAAAGAATCGTAAATCAAAATTAAACAAAATCATGCGTGAAAAACGCCAAGAAAGCAAAAAGCTGAATATTATTTCACGCTCAGTTCCAGAAATGAAATATAATGGGGATAAGCCGACATATTAAGGAATTTAAATATTAAGAGAAAAAAATGTACAAAATATGCCTCGGAACAGAAGAAGAAACTCTTTGGAAGTGAAATGCTGGACGAAACACCTTTAGTATAAGTAAATCTTAAGGTAATCTTTAAAAGTCCAGTGAGAATAGATCTGAAGGGTTAAAGCACTTAACAAACTAAGTTAAGGTAGTTAAAACATTATATATGTGCAGAAAACTATCTTAAATATTAGCTGGTATAAGACTAGTAATCCTTTTAAAAGCATCTACTTAGAGAGAGAGAGAGAGAGAGAGAGAGAGAGAGAGAAAGATCTGTGTTTGTAGATCTGTCTAGCTTAAGATCTTAAGGTCTATAGAAGTAAGGTCTCAATAGATCGTCAAAGTAGTTTTAAGTAGTGGAGTATCTAGTACTTACTCATGATCTCGAATGTGCTTGAAGGAGTCTCGGTAGCGCGTGCGCAGATTATGTCGACTGTCGCCTTTGCTATCGCTATCGTTGACACGGCGATGGCGGGAGAGGGCGGCGGGCAGCAGTAGAGCCATTTCTGAAACGAGAGCAATGGAAACAAGACGGAAATTGTGAATATCGGGGATGAAAGGAATAGCTAAAGGAAAATGCACTGAAAATCAATTTGTAAAAGCGATGCGCGAAATGTTTTGCGATGTCACGTAAATGCTACGAGGTGGCGCAGATAACCCAAGGTGTACCATAACTGTAACCGGAAGAGGTGGCTGTAATTTCATCAGCAAAACTGAGATTATATGTGTATGCCTCTTTGTGTGTGTGTGTGTGTATGTGTGTGTCTGCGTATGTGTGTTTGTTGTGCGGAAGTGCGTGCCTACACGCCTGAGGTTATGGCGCACGTTTCTTGTTTAGACTTTTTCTTCTTTTTTGGCGTTTGCTTCTTTTCGCTTGATGTTTGCATTGCTGAGAGCGAAATCAAAACATGCCATTAGACAGCGCCGGCAAACAGGCAGGCAAACAAACACATACAGCCACAAAAAGGAACGCAGACGACAAGGACAACAAGCATCTGGCTATACTCAGTCAACAACCAGAGTGACAAGAGTGTCAAAAGCAAAGAGAGAGGTCGCCCGCCGCCCAGCAGTATGTTGACTTTTGACTATTCGCAATGCGGATAGACAGTGCCTAAGGCAACTCCGCTCACTGTTACCGACACGCAGACGACTGTGCAACACAAACGTGCCACGTGACAAAAGCATAAGTGTCGGCAACAGCATCTGCATCAAACTGTGCGCCTTGTTTCCTGGCCAAACAGCAGCTGGAACAGGAACACAGCAAAAAAAAGCACTGCATTTTTCAAAATCGCTAGAGACTTTTTTGTGATTTGCAGAAATAATTTCCAAATATAAGAAAAAAAGTTTTTCGTTTTATAAATATTTTCAACTATTCAAAAATGCATTTGTAAAAAGTAGAAATGTAGATTCCCATTTTTAGAAGAAATCATTTTGAGTGCCGTAAAATCGAAGTTTTTTCAAATTAAATTGATATGAATTTTGAACTATCTGAAATTTTGAACTATCCTGAATATTTTAGAAAAATGTGACTGAAATTAGTGAAAGAAAAACCGTAGTTTTGAGGAAAATACTTTCTGTATAATAAGTTAAGTTAACCTTAGTGCCAGAAGAATCTGGGATTTCTAGGAAAAAGGGAGATTTTTGTGAAGAGTGAAGAGACGCAGTCAGAGAAGTGACTGTGCCGGCCATCACCTTAGGGTCACTTATCTTTTTCAGTCACTCACCCTTATCACCCTGTGGACGTTCTAGTTTTCTTTTGAGCGACAGGTTGAGTTATCAAAGCAAAAACATTTATTCTAGAATAAACATTTTCTTACTGCTTACTTCTCATTTGAATTTTGAAGCTAACATTTTTGATTTGCATTTCAAAATCATACAAATTTTCCATTTGAGATTTTCCACATCAATTTTGTGGTTGCTCCATCGATACTACGTCACTGTGAAAAACGTAGAGAAACAGTTGCGGTAGGAGATGCGGGAGAATCGAGGCATATATATTTATTTTAATGACGAGCACGTTTCACAAACAGATGAACTGTCAAGTCGGAGTAGTTGTGGCTTACAAATGATGATGGTCCGAGCTTAAAGTATTCTTTTTCTTTTTAGACATTAAGAGGGTCAGTGAAACAGAGACAGACAGAAAGAGAGAGAGAGAGAGAGAGAGAGAGAGCCTGTGTAAGCGACTGCTGTCCTGCACACATATGTATTGCATAATTTTGGGCGACAGCAGTCTCACAACTTATGCAAATTTAACAAGTCAAGTACCACACACACACAGACACACACACACACACACACACACACACGCACACGCACACATAAATTTGCATAATCAAATGGCATATTGTTGTGGCACGCCTTGCACCTCCCAACAGACGCCTCACATTTTCCATTTGCCAGTTGCTGTTACGTTTTTCATCTTGGACGATTACCAAGTTGGGCAAGTAACACACACACACACACACACACACATATATGTATATATATATATTGACACACACACACACACAGGGATATGCATACATGCAAGTTAATTGGAATTTAGCACATGGCCCGTAATTCACATCTCGCTGTGAGTGAGTGAATGAGTGGGTTCGAGTGTGTGAGTTGCTGAATGAGGAGTGAATGTGAGTGTGCAGCAATTATTTTTATAACGTTAATGAGCACTGCGCATTATTGTGGCTGCCGATGGCGGCGACAACGACTACGATGATGCTGATGTTGATGCTGATGCTGATGGGGATGGGGATGGGGATGCTGACGCTGATGTGGCTGCTGACGATGGCGACAGTCAGCGCCGAAAATGTGCACACGTATTTGCCACACAACAAGAAATAACATAGCAAGTGCCACAACTAGAAGAAGAAGAGCTCTCTCAGGCACACCTAAGATTAAATATTTATGTGTGTACCTTGGCTAAAAGCTGACAGCTTTGTCATCATAATCAATATTACAATATATATATATATATATAAGCAAAGTTATCGAGATAATGAAGTCAAGTTGATGCTGCTGTTGAAGGTTATATTATATATTTATTGTGGTCGGAGATACTTGTTGCTCTATTTAAACCATTTCTAGACATTTTTAGTGTATTATGTTTTGGCCAATTGCAAGTCTAATTTCGCACAGTGTCTGAGTAACCACCACATTGAGAGCGTGTTCTCACCTGTAAGTGGCACTGGGCATTCTATATGTGTGTCACGCCCCACAACTCCCAAAAAAACTCACCCACATGGCCTATATGTGTGTGTTTGTTTACCTTAATTATTACACACATGCCCGAAAAAGGCACTTACACACACACTTGCACACACACACACACACAGAGGGGGGGAGGGGGGAGTGGGGGCAGCACTTAGTTGGGGCTTGTTTGTTAGCAATTAACTTGGCATTACACAGTTTTTAATAGCATACTTAACGGCGCTTCCTTTCTGTCTTCATCTCCTCTGGCCGCGTCTTCGTTTACGTCTTCCTCTTCGTCTTCGCTGCTGCAAATTGAATTTGTGGCCTGGCCAATTACCTAACACAAATTGCACGTATTTATAGCGGTACTTGTTGTCGCTGTTGTTGGTGTTGTTGGTGTTGTTGGTGTTGCTGGTGTTGCTGGTGTTGCCGCTTCAACTATGTGTATGTACAATATGCAACAGTTGAGAGCTCGTCACGCGCTCTGCTTTGCAATTTCCCGTTAGCTGCTTGTGCAGCTTTCGCTTATTAACTTTTGCCGCTTTTGCTTTGATCCAACTCCGACTTTGACTCCGCTTTTGACTTGGCTTTATTTTGTTGCCAATGTTGTTCTGATTGTTGTTATTGATGTTGTAGTTGTTGTCCGCCTGTTGCTGTTTCAACTTTCGCTTTGTCAAGCTATTAAATGGCAAATATCCAACACTGTTTGACCTCAATACCCACCCAGCTCCTCACCCCTCTCGCCTGCCACTGTTTGCCTCTGTGCCGTTCAAGCTGTGATCCTGTCCAGCTGTAATCGACATTTTAATGCTCAGTAATTGCCTGTGACGCTGGCAAGCCAACTAAAACCTAAAGCCAACTGCCAAAGCCATTGCCCAGCAATAGCTGTCAGCAATTTGCAAGATAAACAAAGGCAAACAGACACACACACACACATACACCACATGCGTATCTGTGTGAATGTGTGTGTATGTGTGTGTGTGGTTAACACTATAAACAGCTTAAAAAAGCATTAAAAGCATTTAATTCCGACATGTGTGTGTCTGCTTTGATTAACACTTGAATGTATTTATTTATATACTCTGGTATTGTCTTCCTTTAGTTACATATACATACATATACATATATATATATACAGTTATTTATGGTGTACATAATATAGACACCGATATAGATAATGTACATCTATAAACCATCGCATACCTCAGTTAATTATTCGATGGATGGTTTTTTAGATAAGCTGGCTTTAAGCTTAATACCTGCTATTCATTTACTAGAATCAAGCGCACCTAAAGCCCATCAAGGTATTTTTACGAAGCTATTTGTGTATTTAATAGTATTATTATAATATTATATTATATATACTTAGTATTGTAATATAGTATAATATTAGTTTTAGGGTGTGGCATCTTCATCGATGCGACTTTAAGAGCTGTCATTCATGCGCCGAACCACTATTAATTATATCCTTTATGACTTCCGCCACAGAGCAACACAACACAAAGTTTCATTGACGCCTGTGACATGTGGAGCGTTTGTTTTGGCCATTATGCATACAGTTAAACGATTTTTTTTTAATGGCTGGCAATCAAGGTTTTAATTAAACGCTTAAAGAGCGGACAGCGGAGAGCATACAAATATAAAATACCCACAAGCACAACTAAATCCAAAGCAGCACAGGCGAAAAAAAAGAAAAATTAAAAAGGATGTGGGTGGGGGGTGATATTGCAGAGGGGAGAGGGGGTCTTAACTGATGGCGAAGCTGGAGCTGAAGCCTGTGCGACAGGCACGTCCGACACTAATGGAGCGCAGGCGACCCCAAACATAAACAAAAACTTCTGCTGCGATTTTTAATAGTTTTTATCCTTTTTTTTTTTGCAATTCTTTTTTTTTTATTTTATTTTGCTCTTTATTTTTGTTTTAGTTTTTGCTCAGTACTTGGCTTGCTGCACTTCTTCTGGCATGGGCGTAAACGTGGGGCGTGGCCGTGTATGCCGGCGGCGACACTTAGCCAAATATAATATGGCTTTTATGTCAGCTACTTGCACAAAATTGCTTTGGCTCTGCATGCCAGGACACAGCTCGAGCGAATCACACAGAGAGAGAGAGAGAGAGAGAGAGAGTGAGGGGGGAGGTGGGGGAAGAGCGAGAAGGAGAGAGGTAGTGCCTCAGACAGTGGGAACTTAGTTTCTTTCACGTGCAAGTCGAGTTCTTATGCAGTTGCCATTTGCCATTTACCAATTCCCATTTCGCATTTTTGTGCATTTCCAAAAAAAAAACCAAAAGGAATTTCAACTTTAGCTACTAAGCTTAAGCTGACAGATGCACCTACACCCACCTAACCCACAACACCTATCCGACCGGTGGCAAGTGTACTAGGATTTGGGCAAAACGTGTGCAGCACCTTGGCACCACCCAACCATCCAGCCAACCGTCAAGTGACTTAGTTTGCTCCACATTTCACAGGACGTTTAGTTGGGGAAAGCTTTTTGCAACGCAAGTTTTGTCAATGCAACAGTCATGGCAATATTAAAAATGGGCAAGCACACTATGATGTACCCCGCGTATAACGTATAGTTTATTGCAACTAATTTGAGTTATATATAGATGTCGATGGACAGGTGTCAATAGAGTTGCATCAAGAGGTTATCAAATGAGTTTCAGCTAGCAACTAAACTAAGGTCTCAAACAGATGTGAAAGGGTTCTCAGTGAGGTATACAAAGCCTATCATGCCTATGTACATTACATCTACAGGGTATATCAATGGGAGCAACATATGTATGCACGTTGCACAATTTTTTGTTGGCACTAACAATAAAAAGCAAGTGCTCGCTAAGTGGATCAACATATCAACGTTCCCCCATCAAATATGCAACAGTGCTTTGAATGTATATATATACATATATATATATATATATATATATATATGCATATGGGGAATGTGGAATAAAAAATAAGACATATGTGCGCTGAATATTGAAGTACGTGCCCCAAAAGACTGCAATATGCATAAGATGCCTACTCGGAGTCCAAAAAAAAAACTTCCTTTCGCTATGGAAGAGTTTCGAATTGCGGCTATAATAAATTATCTTTATAATTGTTGCCCTGACTCTGATTGAATTAACAAATCTGCAAATCTAATGACAGAAAATGTGTCGAACTTCAAATTTGCTTCAGTTGGGGACAAGGGTTAGTTAGCTTAAGAGAATCTAGTGTAATAGATTGGTCTCAAATGCAATCCGATCAGTATCTTTACAGTTAGCTGATGGGAATTTTACTATTTAATTAACGAGTCTTAGCAATGACAGAACTAGTGGTGTGATGTGTTTGGGGGCAACGGAACAAGTCTTTTGAGCCTCTGAACTGCAATGGACCGCTGTGTGAAAGGTGGAAGTTGCAAGGAGAACAGAGAAGGGGGAGGGTGAGAGGGAGAGGGAGGTTCTCCTGTCATGTCTGATATTTTTAATTAAAAGTACATTTCATTAACAGGCGCACACGCACATAAGCGAACTCAGATAAAGGACAGATTCTGATAAATGTGTGAACAGGTATGCAGATAGAGATGGTTGTTGTTGGTGTTGGTGTGTGTGTTGCAGTTGTTGTTGTTGTTGTTGTTGTTTGTGCTGTTGGTGTGGACTTACCTCGCAGAATCTTCTTATCGCGATGGCCGTGACAGCGATATCCCTGGCAGCCGCGCTTCTGCAACATCGAGGGGCAGTGCTTGCCACCGTTTTGGGCCGCTTGCAGAATTTGGCGTGTGCGCGTCATCATTCCCGTGCCACAACTCTTGTCGCACTCGCTCCACGCGCCCCATTCGCCCACCTGGCAGTCCAGCACTGTAAACCAAACAAAAACAAACACAAGCTTATAAGTCTATCCAAATATGTATAAATATATATATATCTAGATATATATTGAGTGGTTTTTAAGTTAACGAGTAAACATGCTGCAATATGTACCTGACTTAATGGAAGTGAAAGCTTTCGATTGCCAAGTGCATCATTTCAAGTGCATCTGTTGGCAATCTTTTGTTTCAGTTCGTTTGGCAGACCAAACGATTTGTTGAAAACTAATCCAATAGTCGCCCGTATTCAAAGAAAGCAGATGACAAGCCGGACCCAAATGCAGCTCGGACAATGCATTTTTGTGGTGAGACTGCCCAAGGGTTGCTTTCTGCTGCAGTTGCCATTGTAGTTGCAATTGTTGCAACTGTAGCTGCATTTGGCTAAATGCAGCAAGTGACGTTTCAAGATTCTTAATTAAAAACTGTGTGCAGCTCGGCAAAATTAATTAAAATCCATTTGCCTTGATTGCTTAGCGCTCCTTTTGGCCTCAGCATTGGTTTTTGCCTTTTGCGTTTTGCTTTTTATACCCGGCACCCATTGAAAATTGTTCAACAAAGTATAATGAAGTTGTGGAACAGTCTGTAACGGTCAGAAGCAAGCATTCCCGAACCCATCACGTATATATATTCTTGATCAGCATCGAGAATCGAGTCGGTGTCAGACGGCACTCAGAAATCGTAAGAGCTAGAGACTTGCACTTTAAAATATCAGTTTAATATAAATTTGATCGATATATTGATCGATTTATATCGATGCAGTTACATTATTTATTAGTTGTAGGGTATCTCGTAGTCAATTCCTCTCTCGACCAGAGCATTCGTTTGGCTTTGGGTTTGAAGATAGACCGACGAGCGTTTTGGGGGTTGGGGGCTTGCAGCCAACTGTGGGAGGTTCAGTTGGGTGTTAATCAAACTGGGCGGCCCTTTTGGTCCGAATCCTAAAAGGCGCTAATGAAGCCACAAAAAGCGTTGTGCAAACGAAATTGCAAATTCTCTGCTCCGATTATATTCCCTCTCTCTCTATCTCTCCCTCTCTCTCCCAGTTCCTAAAACTATTTATGCCTCTTTCGGTTTCGTTGGTCTTGTGCATTTGTTAACTGAAAATCGGCAGAAATTGTCTTTCAATTCAAAATTGAAATTTAAGTCTTATTTATTGATACGAGTGAATAGTTTTCCCTCGTTTGCTTTTCAATAATTTCGTTTCTACAACTGCGATTTGCCTGCAAATTGTACTCTTTGTATATACACATACATAACGCCAATTTATATTTAGATTTTCATTTCGCCTGTTTCCACAAGTTTTCCACAGCATTTCACCCATTGCGTTTTTATTGTGGCCGCGCTAAATTAGCAAAGTGGCTACCAAAGAAAAAAGGCCAAACAATGCGTTGCGATAATAGGACTAAGTGCAAAAGCTGCGCACACCCATCTGTCGCTGCTGGCGTTGCAGGACTGGGGCGTTGTTTGCGGTGCTGGAAGGAGGGGGGCGGGGAGGAGTAGGACGAGGAGGAGGATTGCGCAGATTGTTCGGAAGCAGAAAACTAAAGTAGTTAAAATTATGATTGCATTGGCTGGCGCTGCTTGAAAGCGGCAAAGTGTTTACCATATTGTGTGTGGCAAGCAGCTCCATGAATGCGAATGAGAGCAGGGCGAACTGACTACAGCAGACAGACAGAGACAGAGATAGGGAGAGAGAGAGAAAGAAAGAGAGAGAGAGAGTAGAAGTTATGTTTGCGAAGTACTAGCCGAAGGAGGCAGCAACAGAGAGTGAGTAGAAGCAGCTCTTTGAGCCAGGCAAGCACATTGTGAAACTGAAGCAGAAGCAGAAGCAGAAGCAACTACACTCAGAAAAAAATTACGCTAAATTGAAAAGTAAACTGAAAACTATAAAGCTTCTCTAGTTTTTATGAAAGAGCACCATTCAGATTATATATATATACATATATGTTATTCTCAATTTTAGAAAGTTGTATTCCAAAATTTCGAAAAGAACGAAAGAAATATACTTTCGGAATAATAAGTTCTTTCTTGCTGAGTGTATCCAGCCGAACCTTTGTTTGGCCATAAATGGCATAAGGCTGCTAAGCAATCATGCCACTTGATTGCTAAAGCAGCCAGAGCACAGGGGGCGGGGCGGGGCGTGGTTTCGGAGTGAATGATGCAGCGTATGCAGCTGGATGCGCCAGGCGTGCTCAGTGGTGCTGCGACTTCATTTATCTCTAAACATGTTAGTTAACTTGCAGCCACACTTTTTACCATTCGACTAGGTTGCCCAGGACCAGGTCAGTAGCAACAACTGTCTGGCCAAGATAATGATAATGTAACGCGATTGCCGTTGATAATGTTTTGAATACTGGTAATAAGGATTACGTTGATGTTTGCTGCTGAACCGTTTGTTTAATCTTAGACTTGAGTGTTTGTGTAAGTGAAACACTTTTCCAAAGTAAGCAATTTTGTTAGATTGAGTGTTTTAAGGGAAATCATTTGTGATCTGTGATGAAGAAATATTTTGAATGTTTTTACTCCTGTTACGACCAGTATCGATTTCTTAACAATCTTCAACTTCTCAATTATGTAAATCAGCAGCTCTTGTAAAGATCAAAATGCCGAATGCAATTGCACATTTAGCCATTTCAGGCGGGGCAGTTACGCACAAGAATCGAGTGCTGTTGCTGAAGTTGCATTTGCTTGAGGCACACACACACGAGTTGCTCGAACATAACTCAATGTCCCAGAGCACGAAGACAACAGATAGCGTTCTAAGTTTGAAGAGGCAGCTGCAACAGCAACAGCTGCAGTTGCTGACGCATTTCCTTGACACGAACTTGGAGCGGGGTAGCAAATGGGTGGCCAACAACAAATCGTACAACATGAAATGCCTCGCTACATGACGCAACGAAATGGGGCAGCGGAAATAAACACAGCTTGGCTATTTGTGGTCAACGATGTGAAGTAAATGGCCTCGAAATGTGTTGACGTTGTTTGTGCTGTTGTTGTTGTTGTTCTTCTTCATCTTCTTCTTCTTGATGTTGTGGTTGTTGCTGTTGTTGTTGCTATTGGCCGTTGTTTTGAAGAGTGCTAGAATCCTTGCACCACTTCCAATTTCTCTGCTCGCCGCTTTGGTCAGTTTGCGTTTGACGTTCGCACTTTGTTCCACTTTGCCTGCTGTATGTGTGTGTGTGTGTGTATGTGTGTGTGTGTGTGTATGTGTGTGTGTGTGTGCATGCATGTGTCTAGCCAAGTCAAACAATTGCTTTTGACAAACTCAAGTGCGGCAGATAAACAGATAAAAAGTCGCATTTCTTTTGTTCTCCAAAACGGCGTCGCGTGTCCCCAGCAAAGTAAAGGGAAGGGAAGTGAAGGGCGGCAACAGCGCTTCACAAGCGGTGTTGACACACTTCACTTGCGTTCCAGGCATTGGCGCTTGACAAGTTTGGGTCTAAAGCGAAATCCGTAAATCGTCCAAATTCGATTAAATTACAAAATATAGCAGGAGCGGTGTTGCCACACTTTCTTTGGCCTGCCAGTGAAGTGCGGCAACAGCGCTTGAAGAGCTTCAAGCTTAAGCAAAACCCGTAAATGGTCAAAATTCGAGTAAAATGTTAAATCACAACTGATGCGCTGATGCCACACTTCACTGGTGTTGGCCGTGAAATGCGACAACATCGCAGGATTGAATGCAGCTTTAGTTAATATCCCCGGAAATTAGATTTCTTACAGAGTTGCCACAGCTTACACCGCTGTCAGCGCTTGCGGCGAGTTCTCAGAACAACAGCAGCATCTGCGACTTAATGCCGCTTACATTGTTGCCACATTTCAGTTCAGTTGTTAAGTGCTGGGGTCATCTGGAGCACAGCTAATTCGTGTATTTTGGACTCAGCATTGTTTCTGCAATCAAAATTGCAGCAAATTTTGTTGTTTCTCCTTGCTTTGGCTGATATTGTTGTTATTGTTTGTTGTTTTTTGTTTGTTATTGGTGTTGCTGTTGCTGTGGCAAAAGTTTGCTGCCAAAAGCTGTCAGCAACAAGCAACAGCAACTGAGCAGTAACCCAAAAAAAAAAACTTTTAATAACTGATATTGTCGCTCTCTGCCTCGTTGTCAGCAGTGTCAGCAGCAACCATAGAAATACCCGAAACAACATCAAAGTGTTCTCATAACAATAACTTAAAACTTGCCCAAATACTTGGCTTTGGCTTTGTTAACTTTATCGTCTATAACTTTAACCTGCTTTGCTGTTCTTGTTAAGATGTTTGCTGCTCTTGTTGCTGTCGGCAACGTTGCCAAATTGTACCGAGCAGAGCAGGTGCGCATTTTGGCCTGACCTGGCCTGGCCTGGCCTAACTTGGTAAGTCAGTCAGTTAGTTGATTGTTTAGGACTTTGGGTCAAATTTGCTGTCCGGGTTTCAAATGAATTTATAATTATTTTTTCATTAGCCCAAATATGTGCAATTACAGAAAAACATGGCGTATGCGCAATGGCTGGCAAACAATTTCCCCCATTTAAGATTTAAATTAAACGCCATTCCGCACATATAAACACACACACACGCACACACACACACGCATACACACACACACACGTACATGAACACGTGCCAAAAAATATTGTAATTAATAAACGAGCATCGAAATCGTGTTGATTGCCAATATTCAGTAAACTGCTTCAATGCTGCCAAGCTGCCTAATAATACAATGGTTGCAAGAGTGTTAGTGGAATGGTGAATGGTGAATGGGGAACGGGGAAGGGAAAGGGAAAGAGGAACAGGTGTTGCTGTAGCTTGCAGTGGTTTTCATTTAAACTGCTGCCATTGCCTTTGTCCGCTGAAAATTACGCAAATTTTTCGCTGTTCAGCGCGTCCTCATTTATTTATACATGTGTATTTTTAACAATGTGGCAAATGGTTACCCACACACACAAACACACACACAAACACACACAGGAACACACACCGTAACACCATTCAACCCTTTTGCAAACAACTGCTGCCTGA